TTGATCAAGTGTTATATGTACATATTGATTTTTACCGTCAAGCGATTGATTTTGAAGTAGATTAATGTGGATTTGCTTGAAAATAGTGAAATTTGAGACTTTAATAAGTTTGAGGTTATTTAAATCCTATGTCATGTATTGGTTTTATAGTTTGTTAATGTGGTTCTACTTGATTATTTAAATCTTATGTCATGTATTGGTTTTAAAATTGATTAATGTGGGTCTACTTGGATCAATTTAAGTATAGGATAATGGCAGTGACGATGGCGGTGGCGATGGCGGTGGTTGCTCTAGGTGTGGAGTTGGCGGTTACTGGTGGCTAATTTGGGGTTCGATTTGGATTCTTGTTAGGGTTTTGGGTATGAAAATTCAATTTTTTGAAATCGATTTGGGGATATAGTGTTTTTGGTACAAAATTTTGGAGTTGAGAAGTTTGATTTGGGGGAATAAGGAAAGAAGGAGTTGATCGTTATGATTGGTCTATAACGAACTAATCAGGATCGGTGTAGCGATAATATAGTGATATGGTTGTAGCGATCAAGTTTCTCCAAAATAAATTTCACTTTTACGCTAAATTATCATCCTTTTTCAATTTTTTCCTCATAATTTTTATATTACTCTTTCAACTATGTAATTAGTTTCATATTACCCCAAATTTTTTTANACAAATATGAAAGAGGTATCTATTGTTATTATTTGTTAATCAGTGATGTGTATGTATATCAATTTCAATTTGATTATTAGAGTGTTAGAGTTATGATTGAGAGTTATTTATGTATGTTGTAGGTTTCAGTTGTAGGAGTAGCCCCCTCAATGCACAGCCACATGTTCCACTCATTGTGCAACCATCTATTCCATGCAAAATTAAAGATAATCCTCACATAGGGCAGACAGGTGATAGTCTATTCAAAATATGTGTAATGATGTTAACTTATATAAGTGACTGTGAGTATTTCTAATTATAATTGTGTATATGATGATTTGATATTATTTTTTTCAGTCATGGGAAGATCTCATGTCACTAGGTATTTTTTTTGCTTTTGAGAATAGCTAGGTAATTTTCAAAACACTAAAAATTTTCAATGTTCATGTTGTGCTTAGTTAGACTTTGTTAATGTAATTGATCAAGTGTTATATGTACATATTGATTTTTACCGTCAAGCGATTGATTTTGAAGTAGATTAATGTGGATTTGCTTGAAAATAGTGAAATTTGAGACTTTAATAAGTTTGAGGTTATTTAAATCCTATGTCATGTATTGGTTTTATAGTTTGTTAATGTGGTTCTACTTGATTATTTAAATCTTATGTCATGTATTGGTTTTAAAATTGATTAATGTGGGTCTACTTGGATCAATTTAAGTATAGGATAATGGCAGTGACAATGGCGGTGGCGGCGGCAGTGGCGATGGTTGCTCTAAGTGTGGAGTTGGCGGTTACAGTAGCTCTGGTGGCTAATTTGGGGTTCGATTTGGATTCTTGTTAGGGTTTTGGGTATGAAAAATCAATTTTTTGAAATCGATTTGGGGTTATAGTGTTTTTGGTACAGAATTTTGGAGTTGAGGAGTTTGATTTGGGGGAATAAGGAAAGAAGAAGGAGTTGATCGTTATGACTGGTCTATAACGAACTAATCAGGATCGGTGTAGCGATCATATAGTGATATGGTTGTAGCGATCAAGTTTCTCCAAAATAAATTTCACTTTTACGCTAAATTATCATCCTTTTTCAATTTTTCCCTCATAATTTTTATATTACTCTTTCAACTATGTAATTAGTTTCATATTACCCCAAATTTTTTTATCTAATTTAATTTAACACCAAAAGTGTTAACTTAACACCTAAATATTATAATTTTGTTGTAATTTATTTAGTGGTGAAAAAGTTTGTGGTAACAATTTTAATTTAACCCAAAATATAACCCCAAAAAATAACAATTTTACCCAAAAAATTTGTTCATACCCTTACTCTAACATTTTAATACCAAAAAAATGTGCTAAACTTTAGTTATTATTTAGCCTAAAATAGTTGTGAATTTATTTTGATATCCTAATCTTAACCTTCTAATATTTTTAACTTAATTTAAAATAGTAAATTTAATGTCACTCAATAACCTCAAATATTAGAATTTTTTTCTAATATTTTTATTTCAGGTTTAAATATAATAAATAATTATCATTTTTTAAAATTAATTTTAATTTTTAATATCACTTATTTTTAAATATATATCAATTTCACCGATTATGAGTTTTGGGGTGCAGAAGTGACAAACATAAATGCCTTAAAAAAAAATAATAAAGTGGGTATTGCAGCCAGGGCCGAGTCTTTAAAGATCTGAATTTTTCTCTGACGCTGTTGCAGAAAGTCAAAAAAGAACCATACTCGGATCCCAAGGGAGCGTAGGTGAATTATGAGCCATGCGGGCCTCAAAAGTCGTCGGTCTATAGTATCCTGTGATCCCCACGTACTAATGTCTAAAAGGAATGATATATACATCAAATTTATATATTAAATTAATAAAAATTATTAATTTTCAGTTAAAAAAATTAATAAAAATCACTCATCTATAATCTCCGTTTATTTAAATTATATAACATTTTCCATGTCAAAATTCACCGGCCTGAAAACCCGAGCGCAATAAGAATTATCCTATGCCACTAATGTCTCATCTTACTCTATTCTATATGAACATGTTCATTATTATGATATCTAAAGACTAACATTTTTTTTATATATATTTTGATTAATTTTTTTTTAAATTCGATCAAAGATAAATTAATTACTCTAAAATTAAAAAAAAATTATTCATTATTTAACCCTAAGAAATTATCAATATCTTAACTTAAAATGTCAAAATTTAACATATTTATCGCATCTTATTTTCTAACACTTATCCGCATGTTCGGAACTACACATGAACTTAGTCATTAGAAAACTCAAAGACAGATCAGAAATCCATTAAGAAGTCAGCTTACCAAGATCCAAGGAAAAATATTATACACAACAAAAAAAAAAATTAAAGATCCCGTTACAAAATTTTACCTTTTTTTTTTTTTTAACATTCTACACTTCATTTGCAGAATTGGGATGAAAAATTAAACACCCAAATCACCAAAATTTTAAAAAAAAAAAAAAAAAAAAGACTAGCAGTGAAAGCCTAACACAGATCCATCACTTACAGCAATGGCCACTCTACAATCAGCTCTAGCTTCCACGTGATGCGTGAAGAAATGCAACACTCTTACCCGACCCGCCATCTGCGTCCTGGACTCGATCTCCATTGTGGGCCCGACTCGAAACCCACTAAGCCCATCGGTAATCGTAGGGCCCACATTCTCCGGCTGGGCTGCCGATAACGGGAAAGACTGAACTGAGAACGTGGCAGCCATGTACTGGGTCCGACCCGAATCGATCTTGCCGGCCGGGATAAACATGAAGCCCACTTGATTGCCGGCGTAGAGTAACTGCAGTGAGCTGTCGTAGTGTGTGAACACGGCTTTGTTGGGGTTCTTAACGGAGCCGTACTGAGAGAACGTGAAGCTGACGGTACCGTTAGCGATGGAGAACGTGGGAAGCTGGATGGCGCTAACGGTGATCTCGGGGTTTTTGGGTTTAAATACAGCGAAGTAGACGATCAGAATTACAATAACCACAAATATCAAGAAGATTGTTGCCACAATGCATGAAGCTAGGTTTGTGCGGCCACTTGGTGGTTTTTGTGGCTTTCCCATGTCTGATCTATATCTCTTTGTATCAGTGTCTCAGTTTTAGAGAGAGAAAGTGGAAAGGGTGTTTGGATGTAGTGTGTGTGTGTGAGAGAGAGAGAAAGTATATGCATGTGGGAAAGTTGGAGAGGACGGAAAGCGAAAGGAGTGTGAGTGTGCCTTGACTGTTTTTAGGGATAAAAATGTGAAAGGAAAGGAAGGGTAAGACTTTACTTTGTTTACTTTGCATGTGTAAGTTTTGTCTTAACAAGGTTTTTTTTCTGTATTTGGATCTACAAATTGGACCTTTACGTTAATTAATAAAGGCATTTGATGACCACCGAATGGAATCATGGACCCTTGGATTGAACAAGTTTGTTGAAACTGCTGTAGGAACCATTTACTTGAAATGAAAAACAGAGTATATTTGAACTAATAGCTACACAATTTCAAGAGTCTCCCTCACAGAACATGATGAGTCCAAAATCAACGGGTACAAACCAAAATTAACGTTACAGATCAATTTTGGTACAACACTTCAGCTTTACATAGCCTTTTATGCTAAGCTGTGATTTTATGACTTACATAGTTTCTTAGTAGTGAAATGATTGAAATACCATGAGAGTTGGAAGTTAAAAGATACCCCACAAGACACAGATCAAGAAAATTATAAATTTTAAGAGATAGTTGAAATGGTAACAGATTCAAAAGTCTTGAATTCAAATTTTAACAACTCTTTAGAACAAAATCATGAGGAATTTATTTCTCATAAATATCCTAGTTACGTGAATGTCGGACCGAAGAAGAGATAAGTCAAAATGCACATAAAGAAAAAAAACCAAAAAAAGTAAAAGCAGAAGAAAACTATGATAACAAAGCTTGGAAACCAGGACAGGCGGAAAAAGAAAAAAAAAAAAAAAAAAAAAGGAGGCACACATAAGCGAGGGGAGGGGACACATGGTGAACACTTTTCCTCTGTGCTCCAATGGTGATGAGAAGTCAAAGGACATCAAAATGATAAAGTATCCAGAAAAATGCATCCAGGTGATTATTGTGGGATTTAAAGAAGGTCAGATGTAGATGTACGTAGTCTTGTCGCACATCGTGTTTTAACTCGGACCCTTTATGACGCCAAAGTCAACACTATAAATGAGAAATTATCTATAAACCATTATTCGGATACTCACCACGCGTAAGATAACAAGTTCACATACTTCATCTGTTTTTGTTCCAATCAAATATAGATTCAAGATGAGCATCACTGATCATGTATTTGACCACAATGATGTAAACAACATTGATATATCTGATTCAAAAGCTAGGCTGCAATTAGTAATTTAAACCCACAGTATTAAACATTGAGGAATGCCCTTTTCAAAAGTTGGACGACAAATGGACTATGGACTTGATCCTATTTATAGGCAGTGCTTCATTGGCACCCGTTTGTGTCTTTGCTGTGTCTAGAAGTGCAATTATTACATGCCAAGATCTCCAACAGGAATGTTTCGAGATGAGTTCAGCACCTAAAAGTCCAAGTTCATACCACCTGGTGATCTCTGTAGTAAGCTAGTTCCGAATCTAGGACTTGGGTGGTCAGCACAAAGCTTGGAAATGCTATAGTTAATTCCCTGGAATAAGGGAATCAAGTTGAAATCATTATCATATATGAAACTGAGGTAGCGTACTGAAAGTCACGACTCCATAGAGATTAGTTGCAACTCAATTGGGGTCAATTTATAACTCGAAAAAGTCAGTTATGGCTCAAACACGTTGGGACGACTCAGAAATGTTACATCATTCCTAACGATTCTGTTTTGTAGTAATTTATCTGATTGAGTCATAACATCACCCAATTGGGTGGTAACTTTCGCTCTTATATCGAAAAGAAATAATTTGGTGTCGTAGTCTTTTCGTATTTCATAACAAGACAACTAGAATCAGGGGCACAATGCTATAGCCATCTCATTAATTTCTAAAGCAACAATCAATGATGTGGAACTACTAACCAAAGATGAAGCATACCACAGAAGCAGAAAACAAAATGCATAAGTTCTAAGTGAAATTCACAACTCACTTTAGATATGGAAGAGTCATGTTCTTTATAAGAGATGGATTCCTTGCCACCAATTCCTTCCACTCTTCTTGATCAATCCTTCCATCTCCTTTTAGATCTACCTCTAGGATTGTCTATAGAGTTATGAGGACAATTTAGTTGATGATGGAACAAGATAAACACATAAACAATCGAGATTGATCATTCATCACCTTATCCACTATGGCTTCAACAACATCATTGGAAAGCGGTAAATCTGATTCTGTTAGAAAAGCCAAAACCATCTCCTTCAACTGCAGCATTGAATAATTTACATTAAAGGGGTTAATAAGCATGCATCTACATAGAAAAGGAGAAAGTGATAGAGGTTTAAGGAAAAGGCCAGCTAGAAAAAAGAGGCACTCACCTCATCACGCTCTATGTAGCCAGTGTGCCTCAGATCGAACATTCTAAATAAAACTGCAAGAAGGTTATTTCCCAAGTTAGCAGTAACAGATATAAAAAGGTAGTGCCATGGTCAACATCATCTTTTGAAGACAATATATCATCGGTTAGAAAGACAATACATGATCATTTAGTCACGAGAAAAAACATTCCTTCACTATCTACAGATTAGTAGAACAGCAAAGATATACGAACACAAGAAACTTCATAATGAACTTACATTCGATTTTATCTGCTTCAGGAGCATTTGGATGGAAGATGTTTAACGATCGAACAAATTCTCCAAATTCAATGACCCCATTATGCTTAAGATCAAACAAATCAAACAACTGCAATAACATGAAAAAATGCAATGGATCTTCAAATTTTGGAGGACTAGATCAAAATGTTTGTTAATGGAATGGTGAGGACTATAACTAGCAACACCACCTTGGTGACTTGAAAAATTCCTTGTGTGCACATCTCTGACCGGATGAACTATTCACGATTCAAGATTATCGATTTATGCTTTGAACAAACTTTGACAATAGTCCCGAAACATTTCAATCCATGTAGTACTTGGTAAATTTGTTGATTTGGTGCTGCTATACCCTCTTAAACTGTTAAAGTTTCTTAAACCTAATAGTTAAATAAATGGAGCAGTAATACACACTCTGTCTGCAAAGAGACTCTGCATACTGCTGTTGTCGAAAAGTGCAAGCTGGAACTCTTCCTATTCATGAAATAAAACAGAGGTAACTCTTCAGAAAAATATAAACATGTCTGAAACAATCATCAAGATAAAAGCCTAAAAACAGTGTTTATTGTCTATTAAAACAAAGGTCTAAAAACAAACTCAGTGGAAAGAAATAAGAATGTACCCGTTGAATAAGACCATCATCAATTATGGAACTGCTTAATATTTCATACAAACTGTACAAAGCTTCTACTTCATTCACAGTAACTGCCAACAAAACAGAAGAGATTAGGCTTTGACGTGTAACAGATTATAATTCCACAGAGCCCTTATAGCTGGGAAGTGATGTTAATCTGTAAGTGGACATGCAATTCTATGCAAAGGCATCTTAAGGTATTGCCAGCTTACAAAGTAAGGAAATCTGTTCTCACATTTTAAGGCAACTGCAATCGATGGCAAGATCAATAAGTTGTTTAGCATGTTTCAGTAACCAACGACTTCAGCAGAGAGAAGTGCATTGACCCGAGCTGAAACCGCAATAGGTGAAGGTGAATGCTCAAAAGAACATGGGTAGGGAAGGGAGAAAACTCTATGGCTTACGATTCTATAAACAAAGGCCCCCAAATAAAGATAAATGGCAAACAAGGATCAGCCTAATTGACCCAGTAAGTTGAGTTCTTAGTCCTTGCGTTGATGCATTGTAATTGCCCTTCCTCATAACTATAAACTACTGAACTCCCTAAACTATTTAAGTTATTACTAGCAACAGTTGTTCTGATAAGATCACTTAAACAATTTAAGTTATTTCTTTCTTTGATTCGGTCTATGTCTATATATCTTGCTAACTTCCGAAACAGATTAAATGAAAGGAAAATGTCTGATTGGGAAGTGGTTAACTTCAGAAACAGATTAATATATCTTGCTAACTGTATGTTCTCTACTCACAAGCCGTCTCAGAAGCAAGAATGGCATGCTCCTTGGTCCCAGGTGCTGGATGTCCAGCTTTCTTCAAGCAAAAGCAGCTCACAAGAGAATGCATACTCGAATGCAAAATCTGAGTCTGGAGATAATAAACCACTGATGCTATTAATGTGCATGCAACTGGCAGTATCTAAGGAGAAGAAGAAAATTAAGACTAAAAACAATCTGCGTATCCTGATTCAGATCAAAATATATAACAATCTCTCAATTCAGTTAAAAGTATCGTCTCTTTCGTCAATTGGTTATATTCTGAAAATTTTCGTATACTCATCCTTAGCCACTCATTAAATGTGGCAATTAGAAGATACAAAAAGATTGAATGAAAATTTTCAAGAGACACCACGATAGCACTTTTGGGAGTTCTAAAGCTTATAAGTGGAGGGGCAACACAATTCAACAAATATAAAAACTTTCCAGAGAAAGCTTAAAATGAATCTTGTTTCATCTGGAGATTTCTCAGAACAGTTAATATTCAGCACCATTGGTATTAAAAAAGAAATAATAATTGCTGCTGCAACACACACTATTCTATATAGCTCCCATCAAGGGACAGGAAAATAAGATGTAGAATTTCTATATGCTGCTATAAAATAAGAAAGTGCACCCTCAACATATAGGAAGGCCAATTTTCACAAATCTGATTATTAGACTCCCTACTTCCTATAACTGAAAGATAAAGCTACATTCAAAACACCTTCTATAATAACCCCACCCCCCTAAAAAAAAAAAAAAAAAAAAAACGCACACACCCCCAAAATAAAAGGAATTTCCTTAAAAAAAAAAATCCCCAAATTAGTTTCTGTTAAAGCAGAGAGGGTATATATAGGGAAAAAATAGAATGCACAATAGGATCCAGAGTTATTAAATTAGTAATATTTCTAAAAGAGCAATATTATTTAGTGATGTAATTTGATAACCTTATTTTTCCAATGAATCCCGCTATTAGTTGGGACCTACTATAAATTCAATGGGTGTGATCTCACCGAATAAAGCCGTACAAACAGCATTTCCCTTTCTAAAATTTCTGTAGCATATTTCCCGGGAACCTATATTCTATGGATTTAGAAGTCAAAGATATACAAGTCTTGGAAATTTTAGTGGAAATCAACTGTTTCAATAGTGATCCGTTGCAACTTATCAGAATCATGTTCTAAAACCAAGTTGCACACTAAAGATTAAGACTCCAAAACATAAAGGAAGAGGAAGAACAATTTACACTCCCACCCTTCCCCCTCTTACTAATAATACTAAACCTTGGATGCATGATCATAACTACTATATCAAGAAATGGATGAACAGAGCTTTATGGAAATTCAATAAAGTTATAATAAACCTACTACCAAACAACTTGCTATGACCTTCAACAAACCTCCACCTTTCATACCTTATGAAGTTAACCTTAGCATACTCTTATACTGGATGCACAAATTAGATATATACCCAGGAGAGAGAGAGAGAGAGAGTGTAACTGACCTGTTTGCTATGGTGGTGGCGGTGGTGGTGGTGGTGGCGGTGGTGGTGGTTTAGAATAAAAGTTGACGTTTAAAAGGATTCTTTTCTTCTTATGCTGGTTTTCTTACATCCGTTGATGGGGATGGGGAAGACTACGCTGTCTATATCACGTTCATGGCCTTCCACTATATATTATAAGAAAATCTCATGTCAAGATCAGAACTCCGCTTCTATTTTATTTTAGGATTAATCGTAAATTGTACCTAAAAAATGGTTCGAATTTTAATTTGTACTCTCCAAGATCAAAAATTTTAATTTACACTCTCAAAGATAAAAATTTATATCAATGTACACCCCCAAAGATTAAAAATCTCAATTTATACCTTCAAAAATATAAATTTGTATCAATGTGTACCTAAAATTAAATTAATAAATTATACTTAGATCCCCTCATACTTGTCACTTAATCATTTGAACCCCTTTATATTTAAAATATTACTCCTATATCTCATGACGTTTATACACGTGTAACACGTAACTCTTTTTCATTGATATCTGTTAAGATAACTGTTAAAAATTATGATTCTATCTTAATAAAAAATTATAATTTTATATTACCTTTTATTTTGTGGGTCCAATATATTCTAAAGTTCAAAATCAAATTTACTATTTGAATATCTAATACCATTCAAATTATAATTTCAATGGTAATATGAAATAAAATGTAGTATAAAATTATAATTTTTTATTAGAATAAAATCATATTTTTTAACATATTTTTTAAAAGTATATTAACATATATTAATGAAAAGGAGTTACGTGTTACACGTGTACAAACGTCCTGAAATGTAAGAATAATATTTTAAATGTGAATGGGTTCAAATGATTAAATGACAAGCACGAGGGGATCTAGATATAATTTATCAATTTAGTTTTAGGTGTACATTGATACAAATTTCTATCTTTGATGGTGCAAATTGAAATTTTTTATCTTTGTGTTACACATTGATACAAATTTATATTTTTGAAGGTGTAAATTGATATTTTTTATCTTTGAGGTGCACATTGATACAAATTTTTATCTTTGAAGGTATAAATTAAAATTTTTAATCTTTGAAATCTAAATTGAGATTTGAACTATCTTTCGGACTACAATTTCCAATCAACCCTTTATTTTAACTGCACTTCTGCTTCTAGTAGTTTTTTTTTGTTCAATTAGCTATTTCGTGTAAAGTATGTTTTTTTATTATAATTAAAAGATTTAAATTTAAAATATAAATCATAAATAAACTGTCGAATCTAACAATTTAAAAAGAAAAAGAAAAAGAAAACGGACCAAGTAATAACACCTGGGCCGGCTCTCATGGAACCAAGCTACCAATCCTACAATAGCAACCCATAAATTTGGGCCTTAGCTGGACCAGGTTTAGTTGGGCCTTATAATTGTCCGCACGGCTCAAAAGGTAACACAACTTCAAAACGATTCATTTGACAATCCTAATGATTATCTACTATTTTTTTTTCCTGAAATGCATAGTAACCAATTAACTTTAGCATAATGCTATACTGACAACAAATATGAATAAAAATAAAGATTAAATATTATGGTGTTGGCACAATAATGTTTTTAATCTCACTTTTACACATTTAAGTTGAATTTTGGTCACTGCAGGAGCACCTCACCCTTGATTCCCTATTTTTTATGCTGTTTTTTTTTTTTTGTGGTAAGTAAAAAAATTACAGTCTATTCTTGAAGGTTTAAAATTTTATTTTCTCTATATCTACTATCTACTGACGAGCCCAAATCCAACTGTGTCAGTCCCAATAAATTAACTTAGCCCAAACTAGCTACCAGCCTAAGTTCGATTCACCAGTCTGACCCACTCCAAGATCCAAGGAGTCCATGAATAAAAGAGCACGTGGAGAGAGATTATCGAGATGAATACACAAGAATTAATTGTACTTACCTTTTATAACTATCCTCCCCGAAGAATTAGTACTCTCATAACCAGATCTGCATGTTCCCTTCAGACTAGGAGAAAACTTCATTCATCACCCTGAATGACACCTACTGCTACAGGGTGATGTCTTTCGGACTCAAGAATGCGGAAGCCACATATCTGCGTCTCGTGAACAAGATGTTCGAGGCTCAGATTGGAAAGACTACAGAATTCTACGTAGACGACATGTTGGTAAAGAGTATGGTTCCGGTGGACCATGTGACACACCTCTAGGAATCCTTTTGATGTACTAAGAGCCTATAGGATGAAGCTGAATCCTGAAAAATGCACATTTGGCGTCAGTTCAAAAAAATTCTTAGGCTTCATGGTCAACAAAAGGAACAATGAAGCCAACCCATACAAGATTAGAGTCATCTTGGAGATGAAGTCCCCAGCTTCGATAAAGGAGGTCCAATGCCTTAACGGGAGGGTAGCAGCCCACAACAGGTTTGTCTCTAAATCAGTAGATAAATGTTTATCTTTCTTTAAAATCCTCCGCAGGTCTTTCCAGTGGGGACCAGATGTAGAGGAGACCTTCCAGAAGCTCAAAGCCTACCTCGTCACACCATTTTTGCTCTCCCATATTATATCAGGAGAGACCATGTATATATACCTCTCCTCTTCACCCTCTGCCGTGAGCTCTGTCCTCATCAAGGAGGATGCAGGCATCTGGAAGCCTATGTACTATGCAAGCAAGGCATACCGAGGGGCAGAGGTAAGGTACTCGAAGCTTGAAAAGTTGGTTCTCACACTTGTCACTGATGTCAGGCATCTACGCCACTACTTTCAGAGTCACACCATCATNAATTTTATTTTCTCTATATCTACTATCTACTGACGAGCCCAAATCCAACTGTGTCAGTCCCAATAAATTAACTTAGCCCAAACTAGCTACCAGCCTAAGTTCGATTCACCAGTCTGACCCACTCCAAGATCCAAGGAGTCCATGAATAAAAGAGCACGTGGAGAGAGATTATCGAGATGAATACACAAGAATTAATTGTACTTACCTTTTATAACTATCCTCCCCGAAGAATTAGTACTCTCATAACCAGATCTGCATGTTCCCTTCAGACTAGGAGAAAACTTCATTCATCACCCTGAATGACACCTACTGCTACAGGGTGATGTCTTTCGGACTCAAGAATGCGGAAGCCACATATCTGCGTCTCGTGAACAAGATGTTCGAGGCTCAGATTGGAAAGACTACAGAATTCTACGTAGACGACATGTTGGTAAAGAGTATGGTTCCGGTGGACCATGTGACACACCTCTAGGAATCCTTTTGATGTACTAAGAGCCTATAGGATGAAGCTGAATCCTGAAAAATGCACATTTGGCGTCAGTTCAAAAAAATTCTTAGGCTTCATGGTCAACAAAAGGAACAATGAAGCCAACCCATACAAGATTAGAGTCATCTTGGAGATGAAGTCCCCAGCTTCGATAAAGGAGGTCCAATGCCTTAACGGGAGGGTAGCAGCCCACAACAGGTTTGTCTCTAAATCAGTAGATAAATGTTTATCTTTCTTTAAAATCCTCCGCAGGTCTTTCCAGTGGGGACCAGATGTAGAGGAGACCTTCCAGAAGCTCAAAGCCTACCTCGTCACACCATTTTTGCTCTCCCATATTATATCAGGAGAGACCATGTATATATACCTCTCCTCTTCACCCTCTGCCGTGAGCTCTGTCCTCATCAAGGAGGATGCAGGCATCTGGAAGCCTATGTACTATGCAAGCAAGGCATACCGAGGGGCAGAGGTAAGGTACTCGAAGCTTGAAAAGTTGGTTCTCACACTTGTCACTGATGTCAGGCATCTACGCCACTACTTTCAGAGTCACACCATCATGGTTGTTACAGATCAACCACTTAAAAGAATTCTGAAAAAGCCTGATGTGTCCGACCAACTACTCAAATGGGTCGTCAAGTTAAGTGAGTTCGAAGTGAGATACTAGTCAAGGGTGGCCATCAAAACACAAACACTTGCGGACTTTGTGGTTGAGTCTACACTGCCACCAGAGTCTAGGGATTCTACGCTATCATGGGAGTCCTGAGGGCATACCCCACCACAGGAGTCTCGGGAGGAAGTATCACGCGCCCCGGCGCCCGTCTGCTCAATACATACTGTCTCCACACACCATAAGGTTAGCCTAGACACTACCCCGAAGAGGGCTTGACGCCTCAAAGATAGCTCTACAGGTCCCGAGAGACCACGCTCCGAGACTAGAGCCACCCGACTCCCTTGTGTCTACTCCACCTGACCCTCTGCACCCACGTTATTGTCTATTGTACCAGGTTGGAGACTTTATATGGATGGGTCCTTTACTAGTGAGGGCAACAGCGCGAGACTAGTGCTAATCAGCCCCTATTACACTCGGTTGAAGTACGTCGTGTCCCTCCACTTTGATACATCAAACAATCAAGCGGAATATGAAGCCCTCATATCAGGGTTGAAAGCTTGTGTTGGAGATGGAGGCCCTCTACCTGGCAGCCTACAGTGACTCCTAGTTGATAGTCAACCAAGTAAATTGAGACTTTAATGCAAAGGATGAAAGGATGCAAGAATACCTGTCAATGGCCCAGACTTTGATAAAAAGGTTTACCTACTTCCAAATCCACCATATGCCCCAAGAGGAGAACGTCATGTCAGACACCCTCGCTAAATTCGCATCTGTCAACATACTCATGAGACCGGTACTGATAGACCACCAGTTTGAGCCAAGCACTTTCAAAACAAAGGAGGACGGTGTTAAGTACACATCATTGGAAGCCAACTGGATGACTCTCATCCGAACCTATTTAGAGGATGACACTTTCCCGAATAACCCAGTGAAAGCCAGAAAGTTAAGAATAAGAGCATCCAGGTATATTATCTTGTAAAACACCTCTCTACAAGAAGATTTATTCCCTACCACTACACCGTTGTCTTACCCCCCGGGGAAGCTGATTATGTAATGAGGGAAATTCACGAGGAGATATGTGAAAATCACTCAGGAGGGCGTGCATCGGCGCACCAAGCAGTTAGGCAAGACTATTATTGGCCTACCATGATCATAGACGCTTGCGAGTTTGTCAAGAGATATGACAAATGCCAGCGTTTTGTGACTGTGCCCAGACAGCCACCTGAAGAGCTCACCACCATTCAAAGCCTGTGGCCCTTCTCCATGTGGAGGATCGAAATCCTAGGTCCTCTACCCGTGAGTCAGGGCCAGTGCAAGTTCTTAATGATAGTCATTGACTACTTTACTAAGTAGGCAGAAGTCAAGACCTTGGCCAAGATAACAGACAAAAAGGTGAAAGACTTCATATGGAAGAGTATAGTTTGCCGTTTTAGGATACCTCACGCCATTGTGAGTGACAATGTCAAGCAGTTTGACAACAAACTTCTTAACAGTTTCTGTGCTGACCTACAGATCAAGCAGCCCCGCTCATCCATAAGCAAACAAACAAGTAGAGGTCACTGTCAGGACTATCCTCCATAATTTGAAAATCAGATTGGAAAGTGCAAATAGACGATGGGTAAACGAACTCCCAAGAGTGCTATGGGCTTACCGAACGACACCAAGAAGCCCCACGGCAAGACCCTTTTTCCCTAGCCGACGGGACAGAGGCGATCATAGCCACTGAGATAGGAGTACACTCCCTTAGGGTCCAGCACCATGATCGTACCAGTAATGAAGAAGGTCTCTGTATCAACCTCGATTTGGTAGAGGAGGAGAGGGAGATAATCATGCTCAGGAATGTAAAGTACAAGTGTCATATGACCAAGTACTACAATTCGAGAATGACGTCTCACTCCTTCTTGCCCGGGGACCTAGTTCTCAAAAAAGTCATCCTGTCTACCAAAAACTCCCAGAAAGGAAAACTAAGACCAAACTGGGAAGAACCTTACATGGTCACTGAAGTTGTAAGACCGGGCACTTACAGAATTTAGAATTTCAAGTGAAAAATTCTGATCCATCTGTGAAACGTAGAGCACCTAAAGAAATATTATTAGTAGCCGGGGGCAGGGCAGTGAGTGTATAAGTCAATAATCATTATTTAGATTATCTATATTTGTTTTGGCCAATTTCCCTTAATATTTTACTTCGGATTATGAAATAAATTTTTGTAATATTTTTTCAAAAAGTTGTATATCATAGAAGTTCATGAAGCTTTCACAAAAGATAAAACATAACCTAGCAACAAAAACATAGATACAACTCTTAATTGCACTCACTGCTTCCTCTCCCATCATCGCTCGTATCTTCGTCGTCAGTCCCTGGAGCCTCATAAGTGAAGAAGCCAGAAAAATTATAAGCGAGAAAAGTTGTTGAAACCTTTCCCCTGAGCTCCTCATAGCCATTAATAAAGGCGTCTGCCACGGCCCTCTCAACAACATCCCTCTTCTTCTCCATCTCCATGGAGTAAGCCTCTGTCCTAGTAACTTTGTCAAGAGCTGCTTGATGGTCATCCTCTGATACAGCAGCCCTCTCACGAGACACTCACAACTCTGTCTCTGCAACCTTTCTGTTAACCTCCAGTTGGTCGGCCCTCTTGCGAGACGCCTCAAGCTCGATCTCAAGTAGGGCAGCTCTCTCATGTGCTAGCCTCGACTGCTCCTCGGCATCCTCTTGTGTCTGCCGCTTGTGCCCCAACTGTTTTTCAACAAATTTTCATGTCTGCCCTTTCGTTGCCTGACCATCAAGTGCCTCCCTAATCTTCAATGTACTTGAAAACAAGTAAGAAAAAATAACAGCCACCTACAAGCATTCAAAATGTGGAATATGAAGGAACGAAGTCAGTACGAAACTAAAGAAGAATGAAGGGCATACCAAGGCAAAGCCCTCTATGGCAGCATAAACAATACCCTCTAGGCCTCAAGAGGCAACCTCCTAGATCTCAGCATGAGTCATAAACCCCCAAACCCGTTCTTTGGCCAGTTTCATGTCCTACAACATGGATACTGAACTACTACTCAAAGCAGGACGACTAGGTAAAGCCTCTGTCCAAGTAGGAGACCACATCGGGGCCTCAATCCCCACAATCGTATTAGGACTATCTCTGAGGGGTGAAATAATAGTAACAGGGAAAAACGGGGGGCATCATCGGTTCTGCCTCTTGGGGACTAGCCTAACCGATAAGCCTCAACTGAGAAACACCACCCTGGAAGCATAAACAGCCTCCACCACTACTCTATCAATGGAGGTACCTGTAGAATCAATGTGAAATAAAAAGCCTACTACGATGTAACCATAAAAAGCTTATTGAAAAGATTAAATATCTTTCCAATTCGACCTGGGAGTAGCCTTGAAATGACATGACACAGACATATTTCCTAAGAACTCTTTGAGTGGATGGTTGCGTACCATCTTGAGTCTACCCTCTTGCTCCACGAATAATGTCGGTGGAGCTACAAAGAAGCCAATCGCACAGTAAGAGCAGATATGTGACAACAAGAAGTAAAATCAAAAGTGGAGTCCTTACCTAGCTTGGTCTTGGGGATAGTGTCTCATCTCGAAAGCACCAAGTCACGATCACTCTCGGTGCCCCACTCGCCTCCAACAAAGAAGAACTTAGACCTCCAACTATGGCAGTTCGAAGGATGCCCAATGATGACCTTTCCAGTGTCTTGAGTAACCTCCCTCATGATGCGCCCGTCAAAATGGGTGCCTAGCAACAAACAGGACCAAGATGTTGTCAAAATCAATGTCAAGACAATCAGTTTCAACTCAACAAGGACTCTCTAGCAATCCGAGATGTATCCAGCTACGCGCATTTTGACTGGATTTTGGGGATCAACATGCCCAGTTGGGTCGTAGGGTTCCACCCACCCGGTTAGGTGGCAAGGGCTCAGGGGCAGCGCCCCCAAAACCTAAACGGTTTTCTAAATTTCATACTAGAGGTATGTCATGCAAACTGTAAAGAAAGTTCATAATGTATACCACAAAAGTTCAGAAGAATATCTTACTCGTTTGAAGAACAAGTGCGCCCAAGACTTTGTCGACACCACTTGGAGCAGAGACCATAGCGCATTGGGTGCCGCCCAGCACTCCCTTTCTCTTAATGGTGCCACCCAACACCTCATTTCTCCTCTCACTGTCGAAGCCATCGCCCCAAGACCCTAAGGAACCATCGGCGCCACTAAAATGGCCTCCACCGCTACTTGGCGCAGCCTGGCATGCCATTAGCACTGCCCAGCGCGTGACAGTCATCGCCCAGCTCCCCTGGGGCACCTCCAGCAACTGGGTCACCACTAAGGTGTTGTCCATCACATGCTCCGCTGCCTCCTGCCCAACTCTCACCTCCAATGGCGCTGCCCAACACATTGGCGTTGCTACCTCAAGTGCGGTGGGTGCCTCCCACTAATACTCTCTCCCTCTTGTGGTCATCGCCCAACAATTGATTGGCGTTGCCAAGTAGCTTGCTTGCACTACCCCAATAGCCCGCTGGCTCCGCCTAAGGACCTCCTTGCATGGGTCTCTCTATCTCCCTCGGTATTTTCTGATTTGTCATTGATATCTTCTTCGCCTGATCCACTTTGGCTCCCCACATCTCTCCATTGACATACTTCCCCACTAAAGCACTCTAGATGAAAATCCTTCTCAATAAATCTCTCCTAATCTTCAATTGAGGTTCCAAATACCTAAAGAAAAAGAGTTGCAAAGAGGAAAGGGTGAAGTGGTTTTTATAAATAATAGCCCCTTGAAGCCCTAAAGGAAAAAGAAAAGAAGGATTCTTTGGACATGAACTTCTTTTTAGCTTGGGATGAAGGGTGTTCAGTGGTGAAATGAGGAAGCCGAAGAAGCTATATTGTGGAGAACAAGAAATGAAAGCTCATTCATGCCCTCAAAATCATTGACACAACAATAATTTGGGGCGTGAGAGCAAATAACAAGCCCAAATCCAACTGGGTCATGCCCAATAAGTCAAGTTAGCCCAAACCAGTTATCAGGCAGCCCAAGTCCGGTTCACCACTCCGACTCAATCCAAGATTCAAGGAGCCAATGAAGAAAAGAGCACATGGGAGAGAGATCATCGGGATGGATATACAAGAATTAGTTGTACTTACCTTTTGTAATTATCCTCTCCGCAGAATTAGTACTCTCACACTCACGTCACCGCCTCACCATACCTACAAATTATAAGCTCTCTCTACACGGAGAGACATCTCACCACACCTCTCTACATACACATAGCTTCTCTCTCTTATCTATTGTATCTCTCCTAGAGCTAACTACTGCTCTCTCCTTTATTCATCCATCTTCATTAATAAAGACCCTCCGCTCACCGTTGTCGTTTTCTAGAGTATAATAGGTCACTCAGATCAAATTACTACATATATGTGTGTTGACTCAATATTACATTACTGTCATTGATTGCTTTATTTATTGTCAATTAATTATACCTTATCACTCACTCGACTGTTAATCTTGCACGAGACAATTTTGTGCATCATCATCAACTATATTTATACTACTAATAAAAGTACCTTAAGTAAAAAAATTTTGATTCTTTATTTTACCCTTATAAAGAATTTTAATTACTACATTATCTTTCCATAGTAAAATATTTAAATTACAATCACGTCCTTATATATTTAAATCTTCAATTTACCCTCTAACATTTTTTTTACTTCTTTATTATCTTTGTATAAATATCAATATCTATAAAAAAAAATTAATTAACTACGTTACTCTTAAAAAAATATATGCATCATTATAATTTTCAATAAATTGTTCAAAAACTTCATCAATAAATCATACTTTTTTCAAATATATAAATAACATTATGATTATATATATGTATTTTTTTTCCATCTATACTACTAATAAAGAATAAAACTTTTATCATGACATTTTTTTGATTCATTATTTTATTCTTATAACAAATTTTAAATACCACACTATCCTTCAATATTTGAATATCTAAACTGTCATCATATACTTATATATTTAAATTTTTAAATTACCCCTAACATCTCTTGTAATTCTTTATTTACTGTGTATAAATATTAGTATTTATGAAACTTTTTATTTGACTACATTACCTTTAAAGCATATATGCATCACTATAATTTTTAATAAAACGTTCAATTTTTTTAAAATTTTTTTTATCAATTTAATATTATTCATTTTAAATCTAAAAATAACATTATCCTTACATATGTGTATTTATTTCATCCAAAATTTCAAGCATTTAATTTTGAAGATAAAAAATAATCTTTTAAGCAGTTTTTTTAAAATAATTTATATTAAATCAACATAATTCTTCAATCACAGTAAACTTTTCAAGTTTTATTAAAAGTTTATATAAAAAAATTATACTGTATTTTTAAGTAAAACTTCAATTTTAGAATTTTAATATTTTTTTAAAATATATATTATAGAGTAGTATATTATATTTTAAAGTGAATAACACTTTTAGTCCCTAAAATATATGCATATTTTGTCAGTTTAGTTTTCATTATATCAATTTTATCAATTTAATTCTTAAAATATTTAGTTAATGTTTAAATGATTTATAATATAGACAATCTATTAATTTTTTTTATAGAAGTGATCACGTGATACTATTTGAGGGAATAACATGTGGTTATTTTCGTCAAAAAACTTAATGAATTATCTGGTTAAGAATCATTTAAATAATAATTAAATGTTTTAGGGACCAAAATTTTATTAATCCTATATTTTATCCCTATTAACCTAACTAATTATAGTAAGCATTGATTAGAATATTACAAATTATTTTTATTTTATTCAATGAATTATACGTTGAAACATAATCAAATGTATTTCAAATAAATTATTTTTATCTTTTTTTTTATAGTTAAAACAATGAATCGTTGAGAACAAACACTATTTTCAAATTCTATAATATAAGAAGAGCAATAAAAATATAATTTTGATAAACTTGAAATGATATTTAATGTACGTACACATATATCTAATACTTTTTATTAATATTTTATATATAAAAATTATTCATGTGCAACGCACGTGGTGCATTACTAGTTACTAATAAAAGTACATTAAGATGAAAAACTTTTGAATATCTATTTTATCCTTATAAATAATTGTAAATATCACTCTATCATTTCTCAATTAAATATCTAAATTATCATTATATTCTTATATATTTAAATCTACAAATTATCTTTAACATGTATTTTAATTATCTATTCACTATGTATAAATATCAATTCTTATTAAAAAAATGATAAACTATATTACTTTTAAAAAATATGTATCATTATATTTTTAATAAAGTGTTCAAAAAACCTTCAAAAGTTTCATTAATCAAATATTACTCTTCTTTTATGCAAATATAACATTATGCCTACATATGTGTATTTTTTTCATAAAAAAATTTAACTTTTTCATTTTTAAGATAAAAAATAATCATATATATAATTGTTTAAAATTATGCTACATCAGTATAATTATTCAATGACAATAAACTTTATAAGTTGTATTTAGATTTTATGTGAAAATATATATTGTAGTATATTTTTAAGTTAAACTTAATTTTTTTTTTAAATTTAATATTGTGGAATTTTATTTATTTATTTTGTAATTTTTAAGTAAAACTTAAAATTTTTAGAATAGTATATTAAATTTTATCTCAATTCATCTAACAAATTCTTAATTACAGTAAGGTTATAATATGATTAGTATATAGACAATTACTTTTATTTTATTGAATCCTAATAAAATGAATTTCAAAAAAAAATAAATTTCCCAAATATTACTAAAAAATTAATCTCAATCACAAACTTCTAGAAAAATATTATTTAACTATTCCTCTTTTTTTTTTATCTTCCCTTCCTTATAGTTAGAACAAATAATTTTGAGGACATATAAAATTTTTATAATCCTATAATAGAATTTGAGCAGTAAAAATTAAGTTTGGTAAATTTGAAACAATATTTAATTCAAATACATTTACTTAAATTATTTACGTGCTACACACGTGGTGTATTGCTAGTACTACTAATAAAAATACTTTAATGTAAAAAATTTTTGATTCACTATTTTACCCTTATAAAAAATTATAAAGATTAACATGTTATTTTGTATTTAAATATATAAATTACAATTATATCCTCATATATTTAAATAACAAACTAATATTTAACAAATCATGTAAATTTTGTTGTCTTTGCAAAACTTTTGAGTGATCGTGTTATGTTTAACATGATATATAAAAAAATATTTTTATTTTTTTCAAAACTCTAACATTAATACACCTATAACTTTATTAATACAATATTATCTCTAATACTAAAAAATGTATATATATATATATATATATTATCTCTCCATTTACAGTCAAAAAAATATAGTAAAAAGATATTGAGGCACAAAATAAAAGCAAGAAAGACGAAAAGAAAAATTTATAATCTTTACTATTTGGTTGCTCAAATGAAAGAAAATACAAAAAATTTTAATATGATAAATATGAGATAATATCTAATTTTGTTACATTATTAGATATTTTTATATGTTTTATCAAATGTTTCAACAAAAAAAATTTCGTGCACGTGTGGTGGATTCCTAGTCTTTACAAAAGTTAGAAATCTCAAACAATACTTTATTTTTAGTACAAAAACTTTAGTTTTAGTGTAGATGACAAACTTTTAATCGAATTGAAGAAAAAATTAATTAAGGTACGAAAAGTTGAATCGAACCCTCTTAAGCATTAAAAAAAAAAATCCACCATTTATAGAATGAAATTTTTAATTTTTAAAGGAGTAAAGGCAGTTATTTAAGGATGGGAGTTCCAAAGTCGACCGAAAAAAAAAAAGTAAAGTTTTACGTGACGCCAAAAAAAAAAGAAAGGAATAAAATTTTATTTCCTAATCTGTATATGTGATTAATGTTTATTTTTCTCAGGAAGAGTTTGGAAAGTAGAGCATCGTCCGTATTTTGCCAATTTGCAGGTATTCTCTCTCCTCTTCTACTTTAATAATTCGTAATCTATGTCGCATCTTCAATTGATTGATTGATTGATCTTTAGATTATCAGAAATATAGACATCGTTGCAGCTTCAAAACTGTGTCAAAACCCCTCTTATAATTGGTATTTATGCCCATGATGGAGTAACATTGTTTGAAACCCTAGTCGTGTATAACTGTTAGATTTAATTAACAATTACGATTTACAGTTCAATTCGACTCAACACGTTATCACGTACTCTCTTTCTCTATTTTAATTTTTTCAGGATTTATGTGAAACAATGGAAGTGGAATTAGTAGCAGAGGGTATATCGGAAGAAGACATCTATGCAGTTGATGAGTATAATGATGTAAGTTTTGTCTTTGTATTGCTCATAGTTACCGTGCTGTTCTTGTTGTTATTATTATTATTGTTATTATCTTCCATCTCTAGCGTCCATAGAAGGATAAATCTGTGTTTCTGATGTAAGTCTTGCAATCTAAAATTCCAGACAATGAAGTGCCAGGCATTTGATATTTGATCTAAATTTATGTACTTGTGTTATTTAATTTTTCCTAAACTTACGGGTTTTTGGTTGAATTATTCTACTTAGGGAATTAAAATTGAGGTTTCATTGAGTTAAGAGTGGAGCGAAATAAAAAGCAAGGGTTTTAATGACATAGAATAATGGTTTTCGGTGAAAAATCAGAATTTTTGACATCTTATGAGAAAGGAGCAAGTTTTGCAGTCTACCAAAAACAGAAGAGGTGAATTTTGAATATCATTGCACTTCCAAAATCTTGTTACTCTAATAACTTGCTTCACATAACATCACGATTGGAGAGGGCTTAGTGACTTGTTGATCAGCTTGTTACCGACAAACTTCCAAGTTTGCATTTGTTGCTTTTGTTCAATGATCTTGTGTATAGTTATTTGATTTTAAATGTGCAGGATTATTCTGCTTTTGATGGTGAAAGATGTGGGATATGCATGGATATTGTTGTTGACAGAGGAGTTTTAGATTGCTGCCAACACTGGTATGAAACTCTTAATGTTTTTTCCGTGATTATAGCATTTGGGTTCCTTTTTTTTTTTTTTGGGGGGGGGGGGTTCGTGAGATATTGTTGGGTTTTTCTCTCTCTCATTCACTTAATGTCTGGTAAGTACCGTCGCTATAATGTTTTCAGGAACAATAACTCAAGCAACTAGGTATTTAGGATTGTTGAATTGGACATAGACATGGATGTGTGGATGGTTCTTCTAGTTTCATCTCCTTATAGCTAGGCTTACACACCCCCCCTCTTTCCTGACGATATATGAAGTGGAAAGAATTATACTTCACATTATTGTTGTTTCTTATCAAAAGATCTTTCAACAGTGAGAGAGCAATGAGCCCTTTTACTTCCTCGTTGTAAAAACCTGTCCAAGCATACGGATATGCCTGGTGATTCCCATACTTAATATGTTTCTCTATACATGTGTGTTTATGTCTTCTTTACTTTATATCGAGTCTGTTGCATCCTACATTACTGACATTTTAATTTGATTATGACTAATTGGGCGATTTGGTATGGCGTTTCCTAACTGCTTCATTGGTTATGTGTCGTCGGTGTAGTATTTTTTATATCAGGCTTAAATCTGTTGGAAGTTCTAATATAGGTCTGCGTGGATTGGTTTCTAATGGCGCCTAAATTATGTCATATATGATTATTTGAACTGATATTTGCTTAGCCCAGATGCAAATTTGGGGTAATGACATTGGCTCTTTATTTGAATTTCAGGTTCTGTTTTGCATGCATTGACAACTGGGCTACCATCACAAACCTATGTCCACTTTGCCAGAATGAATTCCAATTGATCACATGTGTGCCTGTGAGTAATGCAAAATTGTTGGAATGTAGTTCCTTGTTTTATAATCTTATCTTATGTATGTTCAATTGGTCAGTGTATTGTCATTCCTGTTGTTTCTATTTTTATTATCTGCACAGCTTGTGTGTGTCCCTTGATCTCTTTGCACTGATGATTCTGGATAATATTTGATCTTTAAGATTTCTGCAATGACACTTTTATTGCCTACTTATAAATATAGTTGATTATGAAGGTATATGATACTATTGGAAGCAACAAGTCTGAGGAGGATTCATATTCCAGGTAGTCTTTTCTTTAACTTCCAGTATCCGTTTTGATCCATCTTGTTGGAATTTTCATATTTTGTCTTGTTCGACAAGATTCATGTTGCAACCAGTATCTTGCATTCTTGTGCACTGGCGTGTTCATTGCTACCACGCTGTAAATAAACAAAACAAAGGAAGCGAAATACTTAAGTATGACAAGAACCCAGTAGTAATAACTGTCTGACATTAAATTTTTTTTGCATGTTGGACAAGTTCTCTTGGAGTATGGAGGCTTGTCATGGCTGATGGCATGTACCTGTGTGCTTTTAACTAAACCTGAGGTGCTACCATCGCAACTCTCTTTTATTGGCCATACTTCGAGTTGAACCACCTTATTAATCATGAAGGCAAATTAGCAATTGTAGCATGGAGCATTGTTCGAGTCCTTGTGTAACTATATATTGGGGTTTAATCAAGTCTGATTGTATGTTAGGGTTTAATCAAGTCTTTTTCTATGTTAACGCACATCTGATTTTGTTTTATTTATGGTTAGAGGTATCTTGTTCATTTCAAGTTTTGTAGAATTTATGAAACAAGCAATATCAAATGGGATGTTAGGACGGACATATGGTAAAACCAGGAAGGATTAAAAGTGAATGCATTTACGAGACAATAAAAATGACGACAATGTGAGATAAGTTAAGAACAAATATTGACTAAGATGATTTGAACATACACAACAAAGGTCAACAACATCATTCAAGGAAAAATTTCCATGATAGCTCTTTCTATGCTTTTATTGTGTTTATAAAGTGGTTTCTAATTGGACTAGATTATTTAAACTTGCCAAAATTTTCATATATGAAACTGTGGAGTCCTAGTTCTAGTAGAATTATGAGATTTACCTTGAAAATATTATGTACTTTGTTATTTTTTATAGTGCATGTTACGAGTCTTTCATATTGTGCTTGTATGATGCCCCCCCGGGGGGGGGGGGGAGGGGTGAACCAGAGGGACTTCATCTTAGATTTCTATCTTCTTCTTCTTCTTCGGTTACTGTTATGGGGTTTTTGCTCACAACCCATTATTTAACTTTTGTAGTCTGTCCGACCAATCCCTAATCAACCTTAACACATTAACTCATCCTTTGGCCTTCAATGAGATAACAAACCCCCATATAGTGGTTGGATATCTTGCACGTTTCTTTTTTTGATATGTATTGGAGCTTACCTTTGAAATCAGACTAATTTTGACTCACAAACCAAACAAGTTAGGTGTATTTGGGTAGGATCAAGCACGAACACTGGACTGTCTTTGGCTTCACACCTTCTGACTTTGGTGAATCCCATCTTGTGAAGCTGGGAGGAAAATTTTGTCTGCTCAAGGAAGCAAACAATATCGGAAATTATAAATATCATGCTGCGGTGTACTATTTTGCTGTCACTAAATGGATAAAAAAAGGTCATGGAGGACTGAGGTTGTGCAGCTGAGCTTTTTGACCATGGTGAAAAGTGAATTTGTCCTTTGGTCGTATTGCAGACATGGGACGATGAGTACTCCTTGGTTAGCAAAGTCAGATGCGAACATCTTTGCTTGATGGGACTTATTATGAGCAATGTGATGAGGGACTTCATCGTCTCCTTGGTGAATTTCTTTCTATTTTTTTTAGGGGGTTGGGTTGTCAAAGTGACTTTGTGTGTTTGGTCATCAGACTTTCACCTTCCTCGTACTTTTTTCTTTTCTTACATCCTGGAGCTTTTTTGCAAGATGAAATGTAAGTAGAACATGCGAAAATAATGGATGGCTTAAGAACTTTTTGCCAACTGGTGGTCCATTGCAGTATTTGTTGGGCTTATTATATTAAAATGTACGGGAAACTGATTAAATTACTTTATTTTAAAATCATCGATTAAGTACTCACTTTTTCCCCCCTTCTTTGGGTATGTTTCAGCAGTGAGATTTATGGTTGTTATGTTTACCTCATATTTGCAGAGATGATGATTGGTGCATTGAAGGGAAGAATAACACTCTTTCTTTTCCGTCATACTATATTGATGAAGATGTAAGTATTCTTCATTAAAAATCTGTAAGTTTTCATCACAAATTTGGAGCTTTCATGATGCTTATGAATCTAAGATTTTTCAACCCCACAAATTCTGCAAGTGTTTGTAGAACGAGCAACATCAAATGACTATTTGCGTGCATATTTTTATCCGTGTTATAAGGATATTAAAAATTCCTCTTGTAAGATGAAGTTATTGCTCTGAACAGTTTCTGCTCCTAAGCTTAGGATGGAGGTCTAGATCACGGGTACACATTGGATGGTTATGCAAAATTCAGCCGTGTGTGTCCAGAGTTGCAATATGTCTCTTTGTGGATAGTAGAAATAAGCCGTTTGTGTCCAGAGTTGCAATATGTCTCTTTGTGGATAGTAGAAATAAGGGTAGAAGAGTCAATACCAGATTGAACGATTAATGATTGGTAAAGCAGAAACATCAAACGTTATCTCCTTCCATAACAAAGATGAATGTTCGAGGAGAAGAGGTTACTGCTGGTGCATCGCAAAATATGGAAGGATTTCTCAGATATCTACAAAATCTAGTAGCTTCATTTCCCCTAGGTTGGGATTGTGAGGTTTTGAACCCTCAGTTCAGTGTCATTTCCAAAATTCTTGGGAATCTTCCTATTTGCCTTTGGAACTATGTCCATGGTCATGTGCTCATTCCCTTTGTAATTCTGTAGGCAGTTGTCTGTTTGGATGGAGATGGTTGCCAAATTCGAAGTGGATCAGCCAAAGTTGAAGAAGATTCGAATTTGGATACATCAATTGCTTGTGATTCATGTGATATATGGTATAGTTTGAATCTCTTTTTTGCAAATTTTTGTATTTTGTATTGTGAAAATAGACCTGTAAATTGAACAGTTGTAAGTAGCTTTGTCAAGTTCAGCTGGGTGTTTTTGGTGACCTAAGTGTAATTCTAAATACAGCACTTGACCGTTATATGGAACTAAGAGATGTGGTGCTATAGTGCGTGAGATAAGCATTTATTCTTAAGGAGTTTTTTCCACTCCAGGGTTAGTGGGGCTTTGTTCAAGGAAGGCTTTGTTCTACTACCAACTCATACCACCGATACCAGTAACTTTTATAGTAAGAGTGCATGAGGTGGCACATATGTGTTTCTTTTATAACAAAAAGAGCTCATTACTTTCAGAGTTTCAGGCAGTTGATGACTGCATCTATATATAATTTTGGTTCTGTGCATGTATGAAACCCTTCTTATGGCATTATATATTTTGTATTTACCAAGATCTGTGCTTTGTGTAGACCAACATTAGTGAGCACTTGTCACCCTGAGGAATTTGAGATAAATATGGAAACTTGACTGTTGAGATTAACATTGACCTTACTGTTGGTGCTGCCCTGACCACCCAACAATTTTATTCACAGCGGTGAAGGCAAAGTTTGCATTGAAATAACGGATGCTGTGCTGAAGCTGGTTCATCATTGTCCTGGATGCGTGACATGCCTGTGCTTTCAAATGCCAGTGACAAAATCATAGTGAATTGTATAACTACTGAGATACCGTGAAAATATTTGAAATGTAATCAAGGAACTTTTCTTATGCATATATCCTAGTACATATAGCTAAGTTCAGTCCGTGGGAATTTGCTATATATCTTACATATTCATTGTGCCACTATAAATTGGCATAGAACCTACGACTCAATTGGTTGCCGGTTGAAAAGCTGAATATTCACTTCAGCATGACACAACTATTGAAAACCAATCTGGAAACAATCAAATAGCGGTCACATGATATCATTTAGAAAAGTCTGTGAGCACGTGATGAGGATGAATAGATTGAGCTTCTGATCCAGGTTCGCTTGGGAAGGATGATATATCTCAGTTTTGTTGGAGCATGATTTCACCTCTTTTTTATGTTATTGACTTTTCATTGTCATTTTGTTGCTGCTTATTAGGTTTTTGTTTTTGAAATGGGGAAATATTTTTTATTAAGTGCATATGTTTGCAGAAACGGTCTTATGAAAATATTTTCTTCTTCCACGTGTACTAAAGAGTGACTTCATGATTAATATGTCAATTGTTTAATCAAAAGAGTGTTTTTCTAATTGTTTCCGGACTTACCTTGATACAGGTATCATGCTTTTTGTGTGGGATATGATCCTGAAGGCACTTGTGAGAATTCATGGCTATGCCCAAGGTAATTTAATAGATAATATATGCTTGATTGAATCCAGATTTCGGACCATAGACAATATTGCATGAAAGTGCAGTTTCTATTGTTCTGGTTATTGGCATGCATCTTTCATATGCAGTATCTGTGAAGATGTTATGAATAGAAGTAAATTAGTACATGATGGAGTTAGTCACCTCGGTTGTTGTTCCTGTTTGTGGAAATGATGCCCTAAATGCCATAATTGGTGTTGTCTTAGGTTACCAATGTTCCAATTATGTTATTGCTGCCCTTCTGATCTATGAAATATGGTAACAAGTTCCTGTCAATGGCTCAGGATCATCTGATAAGGGCAATTAAATACCAGTGTTAGTGAGGGCCCACATAATTTCTTTCACATATCGCCGATTGTGTGTGTCTGGCATATATTCATCTGCAGTAATTTTATTCTAAGAAACTTCTATCCTGGATCATGTTGTTCCATTCTTGACATCCTTATTTGTGGTCAATTCAGGTGTTTAGTTAATGAGATGCCACATAAATCAGTTGGAGTTCCAGTATCAGGACCAAGCAACCAGCATTTGATAGAAAAGGACAGTAGTGAATGCTTGGTTGAGGTTGCTTTTTCTGGAAAAATGTCAGTATCTGTTGCTGATGCTGGAGAGACGGCTGTTGTTGTCTCAATGATTGAAAAAAATCAAGGAACTGAAGAACCAAGTGAAAAATTCTCATCAACCTTAGATGCCAGCGAGGGCCTGAAACTTGATACATCTTGTGATGTTGCCAATATTCCCAAGATGGAAACACTATCAAGTGAGAGGATTAGAATTGGGCCAAATTTGGAGGCACAAGAGCTTGGACTGTCCTTATCACGAGAGACATCCTTTAGTTTTCAGTCAAATTCCTTGGTACTTAATGAGTTGAAGACTAATCCTGATGATAAAGCAATTTGCAATCCAAATGTTCCCGATGGATTTGGAAGTACATCAAGGAAGTTGTTTGTTGAACATTGCAGTGATGACCTGCTTGAATCTGGTTTAGATCTTCATCTTTGTTTAACTGTGGGCTCTTCTTTGTCTGGTAATTTTGCAGCAACTTATTTGGTTTTCTTTTTTTGTTTGAGTTTACAGTCCTGTTCTGTGACAGTCACAAATGAAATGTTTATGTTTCCCTTCATCTGATCTGCATTGTGTTTTTTTATGATTCCACTAGACAAAATGAACAATGATGTAGCTGAAAATCACGATGCTGGAGATGTGCCACAAAAGAATAGTATGGAAGAATGTTTCTTACCAGGTATGAGATAGAGTGGCTTAAGACCTTTTTTCTCCTTTCCAGGGCTGCAGGATGCTTGGGCAGTCAAATGCTTCTGGGAGTTTTATTTGATCAGGAGATTTCAGAGTGATTATGATATTAAGGGTTCTTTCAGTGTTACTGATTGCTGCTGCTTCTAAATGCTTTCAGCTAACAAAGTTATACGTGATAAAAAGGAGAATGTCATTGGAACTAGTTGTACAAAGAGAAAGTATAGAGATTGCAGGTCATTATTCTTCCAATTAGTCTCATCCCGTTCTTTTTGTATGAATTTGAATAAGTATGTTGCTCAGATTGAATATCTTTTGTGTCCCATGATAGAGTTAATTATAGCTCAATTTCCTGATGAGTGACACCTATATGTTACATGGACCCTTCTGAAGTGCTTGTGGCAAACACAACAAAACCTGAAAAAATGATTCTAGATTGTTTGAGTATACTAACAATGAAGAACAGATGATACTGTCTTTAGTTCATGTTCACAGAAACACGTCTTGTATCGCTAACTATCCCCCTACTATGAACTTGAAGCATTTTTGCAAACATTTTCTAAGTATCTCATGCGTGCTAAACGTAATATGTCTTAAGGACGAAAAAAACTCCATAAAATTAAAGAAGTGTAACCAAATTGAATATTTAGCTTGTTTTTGTGTCATTGGCTTGGGGATTTTTGACACCTAGAAACATATCCACGCTGGAGATGCATGCTCGAATCCATGTTTAAATGGTGCATACATTATGGTATGTTGGAGTGCTGAAATGCCTGTTTCAGGATACTGTTTGTCAAAGAAAATTTAGTTTTTATTAGTAAATCTGTACCAGTGGACTTGTTTGCAATTTTTTAAGATTCTGTTGTGTGTTTCATTCTAATCTGGTGCTTTGCCATTTACAAAGTCCAGACAGCTGGTAAAAACTAAATTTCCTCTTTCTGTTTGATTGTGATTTACATTAGTTTTGAGCGACTGGTATGATGGAGGACGCGTAGCGTGGGGAAGTGGGTGTTGCAACAGTTGACTACCAAAAGGGCCATTAGTTTTCATGATCTACCTAAATGTTGGAGACTGGGTACCGAGCCCTAAGAAAATAGTTTCTGCTACTCATTCTTGACCTTCATTCATTTGGAGATTATTGAATTTCCTGGATAATGGGATGTTTAAATGGATCCACATTTATAAACTCATAGCTCTTGGTTTTTGGTAAAACAAACCTTTATGCTAGGGACTATAGCCACCCACTTTTCAAGCTGGGGGTAGAGAACTCAATTTTCCTGATAGGATATGAGGCAATAGTGTATGAAATCTTGGTACATGAATTTGACACTTCTAGTGACAAAAAAAAAAAGAGTTTGACACTTCGAGCCTAAAACAAATTAATGAAATTGAACTAAAGAAACTCAATATGGCCACGAAACTTCGTTATATGGAGTCTTTGTGATGGCATTCAGACAGCAGATCATAAAAGACTCGGAGGTTGGTTATATGTAAAAGGGACAAAACTGGTTTTTATGCAATTGTGCTTCAGCCTCTATAAGGGGCCGGTTGTCCACTGCCCATTGAATTATACCAGTTTTGCAGGCCTATGTTAAGCCCTATATGATCTTCTTTGCCAAGCATGCAATCTTAAATTCCTCTACTGGCTGGTTTTTAAGTTTACCAATTTGGGAGGGTGGAGTAGGACAGACAATATCATTGTGAATGAGTTCAACCAACTCAATTAGCATATACAAGCACCATAATTATGAGCTTTTAAATGCATATATAGTTTCTTCTTTTTTTTTTTTTTCCTTTTTCTCTTGTTTCTGATACCTTGTAGTGATGATGTTTGTAGAATTGCTGAGGATGGAGAAGCTAAATCTAAAATGGAGACTAACATCTCTGTTAAGAAAGCCAAGGGTGAAAAAAACAGTTACCTGATTAATTCAAAGGGCCAAGCTCATGAATCTGTTTCAGTTGACCCCCGAATGTCGCGCCGTCTAGTTACTGTTTCTAAGGATGACAAGTTGAGATGTATATCTGAAAAGGAAAGTGTGCCTACCGATATAATGGACATAGTTCAGGTGACAGATCATAGGTCTTTGAAGCAGCTTGCTAATGGCAATTCTGCTGATATGTCCTTGCAAGAAAGAGAAAATGCAGCTGGCTTGAGGGTGAAAAAGATCATGAGGAGAGCTTCTGAGGACAAGGAGTCATCTATGCTGGTTCAAAAGCTAAGAAAAGAAATCAGAGAAGCTGTCCGTAACAAATCCTCCAAAGAGTATGGGGAAAACCTTTTCGATCAAAAACTTCTGGTTGCTTTCAGGGCTGCTGTGGCAGGACCAGTAACTAAACCTAAACAGTCGCCCCCTCTGGATCTGAAAGCAAAGAAGTTATTGTTGCAAAAGGGGAAAATACGTGAAAATCTAACCAAAAAAATATACGGGATTGGTGGCAGACGGAGACGAGCATGGACCCGGGATTGTGAAATTGAATTCTGGAAGCATCGCTGCTTGAAAATATCAAAGCCTGAAAAAATTGAAACATTGAAGTCAGTTCTTGACCTCTTAAGGAACGGTTCTGAGAGCACGGAGATGAAGCATGGAATTGAAGGTGAGGCCACTACTTCCATTCTTTCAAGGTTGTATTTAGCAGATACGTCTGTTTGCCCACGAAAGGACGATGTCAAACCTTTCTCAGCTCTCAAAACTGATGAGACTCCTGAACAGACTTTAGCAGAAAAAGCTTCTACACAATCTCTGGGTATTTGCTCTTCTGAAACTCCACGAACGAGTATGGTCTCATCAAAGGTTGGTATTCCTTCTTCTGATAATAAAGGGACTAAGAGTGGTGCTCCACGCATAAAGGGTGAAGCTGCTTCTAATAGAGTACATCTAAATAAACCCCCAGAAAGGCCATCTATTTCTGCTTTGGGTGGTGTCAAGGTAAATCCACTGAAGGAAATGGTCAGTAAATCTGATGATATAAAGAGCGATAAAAAGAAATGGGCCCTAGAGGTTCTTGCAAGAAAGACGGCAGTCAAAGGTAAAAGTGGATCTCAGGAGAAACAAGAAGACAATGCTGTGGTCAAGGGAAATTATCCTTTAATGGTAGGCCATTATCCTGTTTCTATTCACTCGATTGCTCGTGTGAAGTAATTCTGCAATGGATGTTAATCTTCTGTTTTGCTAATTTGAGCAGGCTCAACTACCAGCAGATATGCGACCAGTTTTAGCACCCACTCGTCACAACAAAATCCCCATATCAATTAGGCAGGTAAGAAGTGCCATTTGTTTTCATGTCTTTTTGACAAGAGTGGCTATTTGCCCAACTTAAGGTGATATTTTCAATCTTAAGATTCTTTGTTGGAAGGGATGAATATTGGTGCAGAAATTGAAGTGTGCCCCTACATGTGGGGATGGATATGCCAACCGAATCTGTAGCATCTAACAACTAACAAACCAGAAGCCAGTAAATGTTTGTTCTATAACTCAGTGTCTGACATGCAAGTTATAATTGCTCTCCAACTGTTGTTAATAGCACCATAGAATAAGTGGCAGAATTCTGGATTGAATGTCAAAAATTATCCTCCAACTCTTCCATCTTTTCTGCGAGCTGGGATCTGCCGTTCACTTACATTGTCCATTGTGAGCCTATCACACTGGGGTCTCTCCCTCCCCTCCCCTTCCCACCTACCAACTCTTTCTCTCTGTCATCTCAACTCTTGCTGCACTCCTGTCTGCTTCACCTCAGCTGAATTATGTCTACTTGCTCCATTGCGTCGATCATTGCCATGTTTCGTTACAACCACAATCTCTGGTCTTTCAAATTTGACCAGTACTTCCGTAACCAGCATCTCTACCGGAATACCTTGGAATTCAATACATGCTTTCAAGCAAGTGAAATTATCAATTTTATCAAGATTAGATTTTTTGGGAATAATTCTATTGAATCCACTGCTTTAAATGACACTGTATAGAATGATCCTTACTTGTTGGAAATGTTGAAGGCTTAGTCCCTTGACCTTGTTTCTATTGTATTCACAAGTTTCCAGTCCTGAGGTCGCCGCAGTTTGTTATGCATGTAACTAAATTCTACTAAAATTTGAATTTAGTCAGTTTGTTATGCATGTAACTAAATTCTACTAAAATTTGAATTTAGTCATTCATTCAGGTAACGGATATTATCAAACATGTGCTGTACAGGTGCAACTTTACCGCCTCACAGAACACTTTTTGAGGAAAACAAATCTTGCTGTCATTCACAGAACTGCAGAAATAGAGTTAGCAGTTGCAGATGCAACTAATATTGAGAAGGAGGTCGCTGATAGGTCAAACAGCAAGCTAGTATATGTGAATCTGTGTTCACAGGAGCTATTACACAGATCCGATTGCATCAACTCTGGTAGAGTCACAGAATCAAATCCTCCTCCGACTTCTGCTGTGTCTGCTGACATATCAGAAGCAGAAGCCAGTAATCTTTCTTCTGACCCAGTGGTTGAAGAAGCATTGAGAAATGCAGGCCTTCTGTCCGATTCCCCTCCAAATAGTCCGCATCACCAGATGGAGGAAATCAAGGAAGACCCCTCACAAAAGAACAAAGATGAAGGACCTGATAATGTAATCGAAATGGATCCTCATCCAGAACTAGATATATACGGCGATTTTGAGTATGATTTGGAAGATGAAGATTTCATTGGTGCTACTGCTGCAACGATATCTAAGGTACAGCCAGAAGGAGAGTTGAAAATGAAATTGTTATTCTCCACCGTCATCCCTGGTACATCAAATGACACTCTGGATACCAAGGATCTTGAGAAGCCAGCAGTTGAGGAAGTACCACGGGATACTTCCGACTTGCTTGAGTGTCATATTGATGCAAGCATCGAAAGATCAGCTGTGGAGAGCAGGACAGACAACAACTGCCCTCCTCAAAATTCCTCACTTGGTGGAGGAGATGAAGAGCCTTCTCTAGCAGAATGTGAAGAATTATATGGTCCTGATGTGGAGCCACTGATAAAAAGATTTCCAGAAACGACATCAACAGAGCCATGTAAACTGATACCCAACATCATGGTTTTAGGAAAAGATGAAGATTGTGAGTCTAACCAAGTGGTGACGGCATCTGAGCACGAGGGTGATAATTTTGCTGCTGGTGGCCCTTCTGTTGTAGGAGAACTACTTAACCATTCAAAAATAGGTGAAGACGGACGAAGGAAGGGGAAGATATCTAAAGTTGGCGCCACCAAGCAGTCAAACAGCTGCAATTCTGTATTTAAGAAGGTACTAAAGGATGCATTCATATCATTACAATATTTTCTTGGCAATTACAGTTTTATGATAACCTTGTAGCAGAATGTAATTTGCTCGAGTTCAAAGTGGACCCAGATTTACTCATCTAGGTACATACTTTCATTTTTGCTGATTCTTTTAGACCCTGTTCAGGTGGAAACCTACATAAAGGAGCACATCAGGCCATTGTGCAAGAGTGGTGTGATCACAGTTGAACAATATAGGTGGGCTGTGGGAAAAACAATAGAGAAAGTTTTGAAATACCACTCCAAAGACAAAAATGCAAATTTCCTGATCAAGGAAGGTGACAAGGTGAAGAAACTTGCAGAGGAGTATGTTGAGGCTTCCCAGTGGATGGAAAAGAATTGATAGCAGCCATATGTTCTTTCTCAAACCAGCACATCATTGCTATGGCAATTGTAGAAACAAATCATAGAGCAACTTTTTCAACTGCATAGCATATCCAGGGCGAATGTTAGATTGTACAGTAATATTCCTGACTACAGTATGCAATGTGCAAAGAATTGGTTTAAGTTCCACGAGGTTGACGACAGATAATTTTGCTGTCAAAATGTTCGGAAAATCTGTTGTAGGAGTTGTGTTGATGCTTTCTAACCCGACTCACTGTAAAAAAACTGTTTACGATTAAAGAGCTGCAGGCTGAATGCTGTTTCTGATTCATTTGCTTTGCCGTTGGCAGGTTTGAAATTCTTAACTGAATGCAGCGATTCCATTGGAGATGATGAATTGAAATGCAAATGCTCCGGAATGGTAAATGTTCTGTAAGTTACCTGGAGGCAAAAGTCAAGGTGGTAAAAGGACCATAACTGTTGTACCGTACGCATTCCTTCACAATTGGGAACTCAAAAAATAATCAGCGGGAGATGATTTTTTCGTGTTCAATGGCCAAGGGTGTTTAGGTCATTTTACGCACACTTTGACTAATCACTTCTATGGTCAGTCAAAGATTAGTCATCTGCGCTAGGACTAAGATATTTATAAGAGATAAATTTTTTATAATTTTGTCTCAATCAATTATCAAGATTCGAATTCAGAACATTTGAATTTACAACTTGTTATTTTTATTATTTGAGCTACCCTTGGAGTTGAAAGATAAACTTTGGTGAAGAAGAACCCTTGTATTGGATACGTTGTTATAGTACACATTGAAAGAAAAAGCAAGTTTAAAAAAGAAATTTCGAATCAAAGTTAGTCTTCTTGGTATTGTGGAGAGGATAGCTCAGTAATAAAAAATGGTCTTCAGAAGCAACTTTAAAAAAGCAAAGAAGAAGGTGGAAGCAGTACACATTGAAAGAAAAAGCAAGTTTAAAAAAGAAATTTCGAATCAAAGTTAGTCTTCTTGGTATTGTGGAGAGGATAGCTCAGTAATAAAAAATGGTCTTCAGAAGCAACTTTAAAAAAGCAAAGAAGAAGGTGGAAGCAGTACACATTGAAAGAAAAAGCAAGTTTAAAAAAGAAATTTCGAATCAAAGTTAGTCTTCTTGGTATTGTGGAGAGGATAGCTCAGTAATAAAAAATGGTCTTCAGAAGCAACTTTAAAAAAGCAAAGAAGAAGGTGGAAGCAGTACACATTGAAAGAAAAAGCAAGTTTAAAAAAGAAATTTCGAATCAAAGTTAGTCTTCTTGGTATTGTGGAGAGGATAGCTCAGTAATAAAAAATGGTCTTCAGAAGCAACTTTAAAAAAGCAAAGAAGAAGGTGGAAGCAGAGAATAGGAAGAGGTGGTGGGTGGTAAGGGATTCGTCACAAGAAGAAAAAAAAGGAAGAACCGAGTGAGTTTTGTAGGTGATTCACACCAGCTACTCACTTGCAGTACATGGCTAACACGGTTTGTAAAATTAGATGAAAAATATAATTTATAAATTTTGAAAGTTATGTGAATATTTTTAAATATTAGGGAGTTAGGTGTATTTAAGGTATACAAAACAGACGGATAATAACACAAATGAAAATAAAATATATAGATTTTTATTTATTTGAAGGGATAATATAAAAAATTAATTATTTGAAGGATAAATTAAGAATTTTTATATCTTTGGGGGCAAAATGGAATTTACCTTCCTAAAAATAACTAAATAAAAGTAAGTTTTTCAACTGCGACCAGTGTTTATGAAAAAGACTAAAAGAGAAAACCTGCCTACCAGTAATTTCCCGGAAAAAAAACCACAAAACTCGCTATCATAGAGAATTTCCACAACCAACTACCGACCTGGAAAATGAACCAACCGTCCTTTACGATAAGATTAATTTCGAAGAAGCAGTGAACTCTTCTTTGCGACGTTAACCCTCTCTATACGCAGTACGTACTATGATAGATGAAATAACCTTGCAAAGATGATTCCATCATATACGCCAAGTTTACAAGCAATAAACGTGAAAAACAGCAGAAGAAAGAGCTTCTCCAACCTCTCGTTGCCTTTATTCTTTTCATTTTGGGGTGTACTTTTCCTCTGCTACTCTAAATTGGGCCTTACCCATGGTAATATAGGTAATTCCTTACCCAATATTGTGCCCTGCTTTTTGCTCTATTTTCTGTACCCATATCCTGATTTTGATTTCTTGCGTGGCCTTTTCTTCTTTATTGAATATGCAGATGTAATACACTTGTTTGTGTTCAACCCCGTTAGTTGAGGATGCCACGCTTGCCTCTGTAGCTCAGAAATTTGTTTAGGGTTTGCCAAATTTGATGTAATTGATGCATTAATTTGTTAAATTGACTGATTATTTACTTACTAATGGAAATAAGTGGAAACACGAATGAATACCATGTAATTTGGTTTTTGGATGAGAAAGAAGACCTCTGATTCTGTATCTGCATTCACGTATCTGGTTGTGGTTGTATACCCAAACTTCATAATCATATGCGGGTAATAGTTTTAGTAAGTACATCATGATTGGGGTAATTTTAGAATTTGATTCTCACGAACAAGTGTATTTGGTTAAATGTGCTCTATGCAGGAAATCTGCATGCTTGTAATGGGAGCATAACTAACTCTAGTGTTTGTGATGATAAGTTTGGTTATTGTGGAGATGGAAACAACAATTATAAGGATGGTGTACTGATCGAAGTTAGTGTATCTATGATCTTTAATGAGTCCACTGCTCATGATCATGCCCATGCATATCCTGGGAACTCACTTCGGGGAACAAGTGCATTGGAGGAAGTAGTCTGGAGAGTTCTAGGTTACACTCCACTGGTGTGTGGAATTCAACCACAAGAAGAGGAACATAAGATTATGAAACCAGAACAGCTACAAAATGGCAGAACTCATCATGCTTATCTCAATCTGGATGAGTTCAGAAACCTTACAAGGCAAGAAAAAGGCTCGACTACACCAAGTCGGCTTGTTAACATTACCCACAGGCTCGAGCCTGATGGGACCGAATATAATTATGCCGCAGCATCTAAGGGTGCGAAGGTGGTGGCTCACAATAAGGAAGCAAAGGGGGCAAGCAACATCCTGGGGAAGGATCATGATAAATATCTGAGGAACCCTTGCTCTGCCGGGGGAAAGTTTGTTGTCCTTGAGCTTACAGAAGAAACTCTAGTTGATGCAGTCAAAATTGCAAATTATGAACATTATTCTTCTAATTTCAAGGATTTTGAGTTGTTTGGGAGTCTCTCATATCCAACTGAGGCATGGAACCCACTGGGAACCTTTGTGGCCGCAAATGTTAAGCATGCTCAATGCTTTAAGCTGCCTGAATCCAAATGGGTTAGATACTTGAAGTTGAATTTACTGAGTCATTATGGGTCAGAATTTTATTGCACTCTGAGTGTTTTGGAGGTATATGGGGTTGATGCAATCGAGCGAATGCTTGAAGATCTCATTGTGAATTCTGTGGACTCAGCTACAAATAAATTGCCAACTCCTGGTTCAGCTGCAACGCCTTTGTTAACACCAGAAACTGTTCTCAGCAACAATGAAACGGATGATATCGTTCAAGATGTTGTTAAGGCTGCAAGTAAAGGAATAGAAAGCATCAATGATGGAAGGCTTGACATAGATTTGCCAAATAATCCAGTGACCATGAGCAGCATTCCTGATCCTGTAATTGAAGCTAGACATCAGCCGAATGGCAGAATTCACGCTGATGCTGTTCTAAAGATATTGATGCAGAAGGTGAGATCACTTGAGCTGAACTTATCTGTGCTGGAGGATTACATCAAAGAACTGAACAAAAGGCAGGGGGATATATTGCCTGAGCATGAAGAAGAGCTATTGAGATTTGCAAAGCTTCTGGAGAAAAGCAAAATGGAGATCAGGGATCTCTTGGAATGGAAGGAGATTGTGGTGCGTGTGACCTATACTCATTTTAATATAAAGGAACCTATTGCAATTCTTAACTCTTTGGCATTTTTATTCTTCTTCTCAGGAAAAAGGAATTACTGATCTTAAATCATGGAAAGCTGTTGTCTCAACCCAGGTGGATTTATTGGTCAGAGAAAATGGCATGCTGAGGTCAGGAATACGTTTACATATTAGTTGTTACCTAGTCAAATTCATAGCATTTCTGTTTATTTTCATTCTTCCTGAATGGCTGATCTTTATCGGGCTTTGGGATTTTCTTTTCCAGATAATTTTCCTTGTCTTACTTGATTGAACAGTTCAATCAGCAAACCCCTCCTCATTTTTTAAGAATAAAATCAGTCTTTAAAAAGGCATAAATGGAATGCTTGTCTCTTCATAAAGGAAAGAACACCATAAGTGCCTGCTACGAATGCAGAGCACCTTTTTCTAAGTGCATGTTTTATTTGTGGAAAATAAGATCGTATTAGACTGACCAACTTGTGTTCTAAGCAGGTAAAGCTTTGAGAAAGCATACTACTTGTTTTGTTATGCTGGTTAGTTGTGTGGAATGAAAGTTAAATAGAAACTTATTTTTAAGTTGTTAAAAGGAGGTCACTGCCCAAATTGGTTTCAGTTTGGCGTTAACAGAGGGGGAAGGGGTGGACCGGGTACATACCTAACCTTTGGCACTATTTACCCAAAATGTCTCCTCTCGTATTCGAACTATAACCTCTCAGTTGTTCGACCCAGCATTTTATCACTACATTGAGCAATAACCCTATGTGTTGGCATGACAATCTAGGCAATAAGTTGAATATACCAACCGTTTTCATATTGTACATATATGTGTTCCTATGATTTAGCTTGCCAAAATTAGTATGACAACCACATGTAACTTCACCTGACAGCATGAACAAACATCCTTTCCTGACATTGTTCTGCATTGGAGATTATTTTGTTGCTTCTTCGTCTTAACGTATGTTCTATTTAAGTGATGATTATTTTAAGTATTCTTGCAGAAGAATTATTGGGTTGACCATAAACATAAAATTCTGGACAAGAGTTGTCCCCTTAAAAGGAATTGCTACAAGTGATTCACTTAGATGGAAAGCTTGATCTCCATGTATTTTTTGGGAAAACAATCCTTTGCCTACACTTTTGCCTGCTGTAGTATAATGCCATCTTCTTTCCTCTTCATGTTTCTTTTTTCTTCTTCCTGCCAATTTTCTCACTGTGTAAAATTTGGATAGCATATGATATGATGATCCAATGGATAAATGTTTCAGTGGTTGATTACTTGAAAAGGTCAACAAATAAATGATGCAAAGCTGTGTGCTGTCCATGAAAACATACACAAATTGATGTGAGAATAAATGGTTTGATGGGCTACAAACTTCTTTTGCCGTGGTCGGAAACAACCACTTACAGTTCAAGTTTGAATTCCTCTGACAACTGACCTTTCTCTTTTCTTTCTTCTTTCAACTTTGCTTCTCAGATTAGACGTTGAAAAGGTTACAAGTGATCAAGCAAGTCTGGAAAAGAAAGAGCTTGCTGTGCTTGCTGTGAGCTTTTCCTTTGCATGTGTTGCAATTCTCAAGTTAGTTTCAGAGCGAATCTTAATTTTGTTTGGAGCCCCTCTGTCTGATAAGGTTTTACGGACAAGTAGAAGTTGGCTTTTGATACTTGTTAGCAGCACTTTGACCATGTTCATTACAGTGCTCTATAGCTAGTCTCCTAACTTGGCTCCAGGGAACCTCATTATTTGTTGGCCTATGCCACAACGTAAATATAGCTTTTTGTAGTAAAAATCAAAAGCAGTCAGTACAATGGCTTTCTCTTGCAGTTCGAACATTTGTGTTTGTGTGTGTATGTTTTTTTGTGGTTCCTCGACGTGCTGTAAATTTAGACGTTTCGAGGTCAAATTTTGACAATTCTTTGAAACTAAGTTATAAAATATTTATCCCACATAAATACCCTAATTTCGACGTTGATGGTTTACCTTTAGCCAGACTGAGGAGGAAATTAGTTAAGGTATGCATAAACTGACTCAAAGATCTCCAGTAGACCAAAAAAATAAAATATCATTTCGTAAATGACTTTTTTTGTTTTTTTCTCTTTTAGGTTGTGGTTCATGGAAGTATAAATAGATGCTCTAGAGCATTTAGGCATCAGAATACTTGCGGTGCTCCTAATTATTCGATGGGTATACAAGTCTCCATAGGCGGAGGGAGCTGGGGGCCAGAGTGGGTACGTGCCCGCTCAATTTTTTTTATTAGTTATATATATATATATATATATATATATATATATATATACATACAATATTATTTTAATTAACCATCTCTTCGCCGTATCCGTGTCCTATATTTTGGAACTTTGCTGTTTCTCCGTATCCGTATTGTATAGGACATGACAACCGTGTCAGTATTCATGCTTTATAGATAATACTCATAATAGTTTAACAGAAAATATGACCCTTAATAGAGCACAATGACGAAACATGATTTATGTAGCCGACTCCAAAAATGTTGGGACAAGATTTTGTTGATTTGAGTTGAAGTATTGGTATGGATTTTTAATCTCCGGTAACACTTATTGAAGTGCATATCTATGAGTTCATTTGGTAATCAACTGGTGTTTTGCACTTCACCTTGGAAAGTTGCAATGCTCATTCTGCATTGAGTATTAATCTATCTCAGGTCCCAAACAAATGTGTTAGAATATATGGTTAGTAGGTTAACAAGCATGCCTTTTGGCCTCTGTTTTATTCTATCTAGCTCCTTCATGTTTTCCCTACCTCATCTGCCTTAGCAATGTGGTCACTTCTCTTATTTGGTCACGGTCAAATGTCAATCCATCATTATGGAGTTTCCTTGCTGCCCATCAGCTTATTACCTGACCTTCATAAATATGCTCATGATAACTTCTTGATTTCATAATATTTAACATTTGTCTCATTTCACTATGAGGTTTGTTGACTCTTTAGCAGCCAAAATGATGTTATAAAGTGTTTCTGCTTATATTGGTGTTTACAACTCTCTTTCGCGCATCATGTTTGTCTGTGGGTCTTTAGAATTGCTTTCATCACATTTGAAAAGAAATCTGCTTCGATTAGTTTTCTGTAATGCCCTTTATTTGGATCAATATTGGTGACTTTTGAANTTAATAATAGTTCTAGTCTTTTTTTTTTAATAAATTAGTGGACCACCAATTCTTTAAAATAAATATGTTAGTTTTAGCTTAAGTCAATGTTTTATTTGTATATTGATGAAAATACAATATTTTTCTTTATCTAACACAATGTTCGTTAATTTTTAAGAATAATTTTTAGTTTTCATTTACCATTTTTTAGTAATAGTAGTCTATAACATAATAAAATACGAAAATTAATTACATTTAATTCATATACAAAATTTTAGAGATTTTAAAATTTTTTATATTTTATTGAAATATATAATTGGGTTAAAATAATCTAAAAAAATTATTTTGTATCTTTTTGTTAAGATTTTGTTTCAACTAAATAAAAATTAAATTTACTATTTCACAATAATATAATTTTGATTCTTACTCTTTTTTTTTATTCTTGAATTAAATTTTTTTGTATTAATTTTGGCTTAATATTTTTTTATACCAGTAATATTTTTGCCTCTATCATAGATATTCATAACTCCGCCCCTAGTAATATACATTTGTTTTTGGAAATTTTTTATGTTAAATGGATTTCATATATCAAATATAATATAATAAACATAAATATGTTATATAATGTGATTGGTTAGAAATAAAAAAATTAGAGTGCAAAGTGCCTACCCTAAACAAAATTCTTGGCTCCGCCCCCAACGAGTCTTCCTTCTACATATTTATTATCTTACCCTATACTTATAAGTTAAGCTATGCTNACCCTAAACAAAATTCTTGGCTCCGCCCCCTACAAGTCTTCCTTCTACATATTTATTATCTTACCCTATACTTATAAGTTAAGCTATGCTTCTTCATCGACAAAGTTAAAAAGTTCTCTTCACCTAACTTTCCTTCGTTTTTCTTTCATTTTCCTTGGGAAGTTCTTTAATATCCAGCATTGCTTTTGTCACACCCATCAATTTTAGAGACAGTGTGAATCATTGTGATTATAATTATTTTTTGATATGTAACTCTAGTTTAAAGTATTCTTAAAAGTTAAAGCGAATATAATATAAAGCGTGACGTGAGACTTGATTTTGGATACGGTCAGGGGTATTTGAATTAGTTTACACACATCTTAATTAATCTTTTTTTTCGAATTAGTCAAAAGCAGATCATCCATACCCAAATTAAGTTATTTATGAGGGATAAATTTTTTAAGACTTGACGCTAAAGAATTATTAATACTCAAATTTAGGACGTTTGAATTTAACGTTCGTCCTTTTTTATCAATNGGCTTGACTCTAAAGAATTATTAATACTCAAATTTAGGACGTTTGAATTTAACGTTCGTCCTTTTTTATCAATTATGATAAGAAGTTAAACAAAATAATGTTTTAATCANGACTTGACGCTAAAGAATTATTAATACTCAAATTTAGGACGTTTGAATTTAATGTTCGTCCTTTTTTATCAATTATGATAAGAAGTTAAACAAAATAATGTTTTAATCACTCAAGTCAAAACAAATCCACTTTGTTCATCCCTACGATAATGGAAGCAACCATAGATGCTACATTGATGATAGGGATTGAAGAGATGATTAAAAATATCTACACAATAGATTAGAAATATGGAGTTAACTTTAGACGTATTAAAAATTATGATGTTTTAAATTTGATTCTAATTGATGTTTTTTTGAATTTATTCGATAGTCGGTATTTCAATTTAACATGATTTTAATTTAGAGAAATTTCTCATCAAAATAATTAATTAAATAAAAAAGTTATTCATGATAGTTTAACTAGGTTTGTTTACTAGAGAAATAATAAGTACAGTTAGAGATCTCATGATTCCACCGGCGACGAGCGAACAAAAAAACATGATTTTAACTCGGAGAAATTTCTCGTCGAAATAGTAAATTAAATAAAAAGGTAATAGGAAAACAAAAGGAAAATTGGTGTAATAGGGCGACAAAAATAAGGAAAGAAATTTCCAAGACCTGAAATGACTAGTTTACCATTCAATTTCGTGTTTAATTAAATTTGACCCAGTTGTGCTCCTTTGCCTTTCTACTTCTCTACATATTCAGTTACAGGAACAGACCACGCTTCTCTCTCTCTCTCTCTCTCTCTCTCTCTCTCTCTCAGAACAGGACGTTAGGGTTTCAAAAACAAGAGAATTACAGAGAGAAAAACAACCACCAATTAGGTTTATGGCTGATTTTTTCCTTGTCTTTCAGTAACTGAACGAACATTTATCTTATAGTTGGAAGCGTCACACTCGATTGCTAGGGTTTTCATGTTCTGCAACGATTTCATGTATTATGAATGGAGAATATCTCTACTTTCTCTAGCGATTTCTCTTCTCTATCGCTATTTGTAGCCCTAATAGTCACCGTTCTCTGTTGTTTCTCCGCTGTTTTCGCGGTACAGTCGTTCCGTTTCAAAAAATCAAAGCCAGTCCAATCGGACGGTGCAAATTCGTCGGAGAAAAGCTGTAAATGTGCTTGTTCGTGTAAAGGTGTTGGTGGTGGTGGAAATTTTGATTTGGTGGCGGACACGGCGCATTTGAACGGAGGGACTAGTGGTGCAGGGGAGATGGTAGAGAAGTCACCGGTGTTGGTGCCGGCAGAGCAGCAGAGTGGTGCGTCGATGATGGAGCAGTTGGTTCCGGAAATCACGACTCATGCGCTGAGTTACTTGGATTACCCGAGTCTGTGTCGGCTTTCGATGACCAATTCTTTAATGCGGAAGGCTGCCAATGACGATAATGCATGGAAAGCGCTTTATCATAAGGTACTTTTTAAGAAGGTTAATTCTTTGTATGATAACTTCAGATTTTATTGGTTGGAATTGCTGCCCTTTTCCATTTATGCAGTTGAATGATGTGAACGTATTTGTTTTTGGTGTTAGTTTTTTCATTATTTTAAATATTGTAACATTGAAGTGATGGTCATTATGCATTTGGTGGTGGCCTGAGCCAGTTCATTCCATAGTTGTGAGAATTAATAGATTTGTCTAATTTTGGATTTAGTACAAAAAAAATTATTGCCCACGATTTTGGATTGGATTAATAGGTTTGGACTTGGAGCCTTTATTCTTGTATTTAAATATTTGCAAAATAACTTGGGTAGGACACTTGGGGTCAAAAGAGGCCTTTTGTGATGGTTTCAGCATGTAGATGTTAATGTGCAGCTTGGTTAATTTGATTTATGGAGTGGGAGCTAAAAGTTGGTTTGATGCCTTCTAACATGATGCAATTTGGTAGTTCCATTTAGATAATTCGGTCCACACCTGAAGAACTATTGTTGGATTTCCTAGCATGCACATGGTTGCTCTACAATAAGATTTAAATTGCCTGGCATGCATGCTCTGTGTCAAATCTTATAATCCACTTTGCGTTGGTTTCTCCTTGCTGCATCTTCTGAATTCTGATTCTTGTTGATTTGGGAAGTTTGAACCATGAATGATCACTATTATTTCCTTGATTTTATTTGTGAAAATATTCTTTTGAGATCACATTCTGGTGGTAACATTTTACGGTAGAAGTAGAAGAAGATGCACAAAAGGGACTATGGTAGCCTATATGGCAATGGTAATGCATAGCATTAATCCTCTTGGTTACCTTCATGTATAGATCCATGCAAACTCTCTCTCTTTCCATTGCATGTGCAAGCATGCACATGCTCATTTGGCTGTGTTCTCTTCTCTCTATCTCTTCACTTAAATCAAGTAATCTATTCTATTGAAATTCAAGGCCTCTCCTTGATATTGTTAAGTTGTTTGGTAAAATTTAATTACAACCTTCTTACATTGTTGAGTATTCTGATAGAAGTGTGATTCTATAATTTTCTCGAATTAACACGAACATATTTTGATTGTTATTTTCATGCATCAAATAGTTTCTAAATCTAATTATGTAAAAGAGTACACGCGTCTCAAATGCATAGAGATAAATGTTTTATATTTGTATGAACATGTATGAACAAGTGCACTTTGAAGGCGCTCTTGTACTTGTAAAATTTTGCATCTGGCACTCTTATGCTTCCATTCTTGCTCTCGCTTCCACTCCCTCATCAAAAAAATTAATTTTATTAGGCTACTGTTAACTGTCATTCATATGTGTCCTAGACGTAGGTAATAAAATAAGTTCTAGGAGATCGAACATAAAGGCAGAACGAGGTGGAGTTTTCTGACTACTAACTTCTGCTCTTTGAAGTATAAATACGATATGTTATGGGTAGTATGATCCATGCTTTAGATTATTGGGTCCTATTTACGTTTTTTGAGGTTTTCTTTTTTCCTACAATAGAGAACATCTTTGTGACGTTACATAGTACCCTTGATATATAAAATACTTCGGTACATTGTGTACTGTGGAATTGTTTGTTTCCTTTTATTTAATATTCTCCATAATGTAGTGGTTGAGAGTGCTCCGGATAAACTACATGAAAAAAATTCAAGATTCTGCCTATTGCAATTCTGAATCGATCAATGTCTAGTTTTGTTTTGAAATGTTTTTGGGAACATCTAACTTGACATTGCATATTGGAGGTGGAATTGGACAAGTTGGAATTGCATTCATTTTTGGTATATTGGATCAACTTACAGGGAGTGTAGTGATTCATGCTGCAATGTTCTTTTTCAAATAGTCGGACAAATGCCTACAAGATCATCGTTTGCTCTACCTCAATTCACCATTTCGAACCTTTCAAGTTCATGTTATTGAGGTAGATCTGGTCATTTATATGTACTGGAAATACTGTTGGTCCAAATTGGTTATTGTGAAGTGGTTTGAAACTTCTTTCAGTTCACCTAAGCTTGTGTAGTATACCATGAAATTGCTGGGATGGCTGATATTGTTAGGTGTCCATGTCTTCTAGTTTTTTTCTAAGAAAGGAACAAGAAAAAGGTCTTTGGTGGTTCTCTTCCCCTCCTTTCTCTTTGAGCCCCCTAAAACAATCATATATTTCTAGAGATACAAGTCACTGACTTGAGAGTTGGAGGCTTAAAGATTTGGAGAAAATATGGAGCTTATGGAGTTTCAAATTGCAAACTCGAGTACCTTCTTAAAATATTCCCCACCTTAGTAATGTGTAGATTCAGATTTACTTGTTTTTATTCAAGAGAGCTCACAAACAGAGTGCAACAAGAGTTTTTTTTCTAGCTTGGTGTCATGAATTTACCATCCAAGGGTGCTGATGCAGTGAAAACTTACTTAATGAGATCTGATCGTTTCTATAACTAGTAACATATCTTACGTCTTACTTTCCGAAAAAAAACATATCTTACGTCTTGTCAAGAAAGGCAAGCCAAATATCTACAAAGAGTGTATTTATTTACCCCAAGCAGTGAGTGGCAGAAATTACTATAGAATGGCGGTTGGTCAACTTGAAGGACTCTGGATATTTTCTTCTATGACCTCCAGGGTTATAGAACAAGCATTGGTCCCTGAAATTAAATTTGGGGGGGATAAAAAGCGTTCCAAACTTCTGTTTCTTCAGCCAAAGTATTTTTTCTTTCCATCTTTCTTTAAGTCTGGTGTGAATAGATTAAGGGGAGGGATGCTATTTTGTCATTTGGAACTTTTAAGAGGTGGGAATGGTGAGGAATTGGAGTAATGGAAAGAGGCCTTTAGCTCCATATTTATATTCCTCCCAAAATTGGGAAGAAGTTGAGTGATAGGAAAACTAATGGCTACCCATTTTGTCCCTTCTTTTGTTGGAAGTGATTTTCTACTTTATACTTTTGATTACCTGACCAAATAGCGCTTCTTGCTTCATTTATCTCCTTATACCTGCTAAGGAGAGGGAGGGTGACTTAATTTCTTTACTCTCCTAATCACCTAAAAGGAGGGATTATATACCCCCTTTCCTTACTTTTCCTTTTTGTAGGAATAAAGAATATCCGTCTCCCATAACACTGAAATTCTAGGCAATTTGTTAGAGGAATAGTGCAATTGATTCAGATATATTCAACGAAGACAGATTGAAACAAGCATGTGTTGTTTTGTCTCCTGCCATCTGTACATCAGCAAAATCTTATCCTGATTTCACTTGAGCCTTCCTTATGCTATCAACTTTTATAATGATGCTTGTGGTTATTTTTTCTGTTACATTATCATAGTGGCATTGTTGTACTAGGTTTTTGCCTGTGATGATTATAATCTCATATAGGTCAAAATATATTCTTTAAACTGTTTGTTTCCTTGTGAAACTATAATAAGTGAATTGACTTATTGCTTCATGAATCAGCCCAAAAGCCTCTGATTTTCTTTTTCTGGCATATCTAACTACTTTATGTTTTTCTATCTGTGCTTCTAGGATTTCACATTGGAACAGGATAGCATCACACCTGTTAATGGATGGAAGGCTTATTATGCAGCTACAAGAGCCATCATGAGTGTCAATAATGAGTTTTATAACATCATTAGAGGAAGATCACTTCCCCAAATGGGTCGTCTTTGGTTTAATGCAGATTATGTGAAATGTGTTCATGCCTCTGGAGAGCTCTTCACAGGGTATGATTCCTTTAATGCATTTATGACTTTATGACATTTTTAGTTCCATTTTTGCTTTCTGATTGGTTTTCTTGTGATAGAAGCGCAGCTTCAGTAAATTATCATGTCCCAACCCCCAATCTTTTTCCTCAGTCTTTTGTTGTTTATGTGTTTCTAGTTGTGACAGTTCATTTTTAGTCTGTAGATAAATTTTCAGAATGCTACGGTTGTTTATGAGTTACATGTGTTTTATTCAAACATACCTGTCAAGGGCGTATCGCTTTATTAAGTTAATCTGCATGGGTGGGCCCTGTAAAAGAATGTCATGCAATCAGTTGGTTGAATATATGTGTCTGGATCGTGCTTGTAGTACCAAACGTGTAAACACAAGATGAAGCAAACCATGAGAAATATAAGAATTTTATTAAAATGAAGGTGCTACTGATTGGTGCTCATAAAAAGAAGAGGTGTGGTTCCACATTCAGTATCAGCCATTTTCTCAACGGGCTTTGGACGACTAGGTCATGGTCAGAGCTGAATCAATTGGGTTCTCTGAGTTGTTTGGATTGTTCATACCATGGGCCTAATTTATTATGGTTTCTGTTTAATTTTTGCCTCGGACGAATTGAATTACTTTGGAGCTCCCTTGGTGTTGTTTATTGGTGCGACAACTGCAGTGTGTAGCAAGTTTTCGTACCTCTCACAGTTGTCTTGTAAAATCATATAAATGCTGTGGCAGTCATCATATTTACTTTTACGAATTTAAATAAATTAAAATGGTTAAGAGGTTGAGTAAAAGTGTAATTTGATGCTTCCATGAGGAAGAATATAATTGAACTATAGTTGATGCAGGCTTGAATTAATTTAGAATAAATTGTCAAAAATGGACAAATTTGTCCTAATTTAAGTTTTTGAAGGCAAAAGTCAGGCTTATTGGTGGTTTTTTCAATTAATTCGTTTTTCTTATAGACGAAAACTTCCTTGTTATGTAGTCTGTTAATAAAGGAAGTAATTATTTGCATGTCTGAATATAGTTAGATGGGAGCTGGGCTTATATTCTCTAATTATTTTTTTTTATTCAGTTACAATGCAGTTATGGAAAGCTGGCAGATTGCGTTCAACTGGGAGCAAGCTGTTGATTTCCAGATTCGAGATGTACGGGCTCGGGTGTTGACAGGCGTGGCTTGGGTAACTATGAAAGCCTATGTTGATGTGGAGAGTGGGCCATTTCATGTGACAAATGTCTTTGAGTTCCATAATGGTCGGTGGTACATGGTACATCATCACAGCTCCGTGATGCTTAATGGAGAGGCAGAGCAACAAATTTTGCTGGGGTAAGAAGAAAGGAAAGAGATTATGGCAAATGATGATAATATTGATGATGACTCTGAAAAGGTATAGTATTAGTTGTTATTAGCACCCGAGTCATTTTACAAATTTCTTGTAACCTTTTCTTTTTTTCTTTTTTGCCGATGTCAGTTTTGGCACTTTGGTGAAGAGTTTCTGTGCCTTCCTTCTTTTTTTTTTTTGCTTCACAAATTTTTCATGGCTATACGCATGTCATAGGAAAGAAATTTTTTCAAATCTGGATCAAAGAAAAATTTTCAGAAAAAACAATGTCTCAAAAGTGCAGTTTCCTAAATGGAAATCAACTTTGTGCAAGTGTTGTATTTGATATAGGAATGCCTTTCCCAGGCAGCAATTCTACTTGGGAAAGAGAGTATTGGTGTGCAGAGATGTATGTTTGGTATTGTTGCTATCGTTCTTGCTTCCTTTTCTGCATATCGAGGCATGAAGATCCGAGGTGCTCTTTCTTTTTTTTGTGCTTTATAGGGAACCTAAGCTACCTGGGTTCCCTGATAAATGTAACCCAAGAAATGTCAGCCCTTAACAGGGGCAAAATACAGAGTGGTGGTGAGTACAGAATCATCATCTCCTCAACTTGGCTAATGTGTCTGTAATTCTCCAGGACTTTGAAAGGGTGGCTGTCTGTTTGATTGGTAGACAACAGCTTGAAGACTTCGGAGGAGTCGGTTTCAAGGATGTAGTGCCCTTTCAGATAGAGAGTTTCATGTTCTGCGGAAGATAAAAGGGGTTTCTGCTGCTTCGTGGTACTTGAAACTACCCAAGCTGCTTCTGGAAGTGTGGGAGTGACTTCTATGTCCCTGTTGTAGAGATCAGAGTTCTATTAGGTGCCGACCAGGGCAGTGTTGCCTTGAGTAGGGGTGGGCAACCCGATTTTAACCCGAGCCCAACCCGAAAAAATTAAGGCTTGGACAAGGGTTTTTAATACTAGGGTTGGGCTTGGGTAAAAAAATTTCAACCCGAATTCAATTTGGATTGGGTTCGGGTTGAAGTCTCGTGAACCCGAATTTGACAAATTAAAAAAAAAATTATATATATAAAGCATTAGCACTGATATTTTATTTTTGTTCTATTGTTCTCTTTGCCTCTCTCGTTAAAAATTTGTTTGAATTTATTAGTTGTTAATTTAGGTGAATATTATGTAATATATGTATTAAGTTTAGAACAACAAGCCTATTTTGGGCTCTACCCGAATTAAACCCGTAAAGTAATTAGAAATCATCAATCCGAGTCTGTNTGTAATTTGATGCTTCCATGAGGAAGAATATAATTGAACTATAGTTGATGCAGGCTTGAATTAATTTAGAATAAATTGTCAAAAATGGACAAATTTGTCCTAATTTAAGTTTTTGAAGGCAAAAGTCAGGCTTATTGGTGGTTTTTTCAATTAATTCGTTTTTCTTATAGACGAAAACTTCCTTGTTATGTAGTCTGTTAATAAAGGAAGTAATTATTTGCATGTCTGAATATAGTTAGATGGGAGCTGGGCTTATATTCTCTAATTATTTTTTTTTATTCAGTTACAATGCAGTTATGGAAAGCTGGCAGATTGCGTTCAACTGGGAGCAAGCTGTTGATTTCCAGATTCGAGATGTACGGGCTCGGGTGTTGACAGGCGTGGCTTGGGTAACTATGAAAGCCTATGTTGATGTGGAGAGTGGGCCATTTCATGTGACAAATGTCTTTGAGTTCCATAATGGTCGGTGGTACATGGTACATCATCACAGCTCCGTGATGCTTAATGGAGAGGCAGAGCAACAAATTTTGCTGGGGTAAGAAGAAAGGAAAGAGATTATGGCAAATGATGATAATATTGATGATGACTCTGAAAAGGTATAGTATTAGTTGTTATTAGCACCCGAGTCATTTTACAAATTTCTTGTAACCTTTTCTTTTTTTCTTTTTTGCCGATGTCAGTTTTGGCACTTTGGTGAAGAGTTTCTGTGCCTTCCTTCTTTTTTTTTTTTGCTTCACAAATTTTTCATGGCTATACGCATGTCATAGGAAAGAAATTTTTTCAAATCTGGATCAAAGAAAAATTTTCAGAAAAAACAATGTCTCAAAAGTGCAGTTTCCTAAATGGAAATCAACTTTGTGCAAGTGTTGTATTTGATATAGGAATGCCTTTCCAGGCAGCAATTCTACTTGGGAAAGAGAGTATTGGTGTGCAGAGATGTATGTTTGGTATTGTTGCTATCGTTCTTGCTTCCTTTTCTGCATATCGAGGCATGAAGATCCGAGGTGCTCTTTCTTTTTTTTGTGCTTTATAGGGAACCTAAGCTACCTGGGTTCCCTGATAAATGTAACCCAAGAAATGTCAGCCCTTAACAGGGGCAAAATACAGAGTGGTGGTGAGTACAGAATCATCATCTCCTCAACTTGGCTAATGTGTCTGTAATTCTCCAGGACTTTGAAAGGGTGGCTGTCTGTTTGATTGGTAGACAACAGCTTGAAGACTTCGGAGGAGTCGGTTTCAAGGATGTAGTGCCCTTTCAGATAGAGAGTTTCATGTTCTGCGGAAGATAAAAGGGGTTTCTGCTGCTTCGTGGTACTTGAAACTACCCAAGCTGCTTCTGGAAGTGTGGGAGTGACTTCTATGTCCCTGTTGTAGAGATCAGAGTTCTATTAGGTGCCGACCAGGGCAGTGTTGCCTTGAGTAGGGGTGGGCAACCCGATTTTAACCCGAGCCCAACCCGAAAAAATTAAGGCTTGGACAAGGGTTTTTAATACTAGGGTTGGGCTTGGGTAAAAAAATTTCAACCCGAATTCAATTTGGATTGGGTTCGGGTTGAAGTCTCGTGAACCCGAATTTGACAAATTAAAAAAAAAATTATATATATAAAGCATTAGCACTGATATTTTATTTTTGTTCTATTGTTCTCTTTGCCTCTCTCGTTAAAAATTTGTTTGAATTTATTAGTTGTTAATTTAGGTGAATATTATGTAATATATGTATTAAGTTTAGAACAACAAGCCTATTTTGGGCTCTACCCGAATTAAACCCGTAAAGTAATTAGAAATCATCAATCCGAGTCTGT